AAATGCCAGATTTGAGCTTTGTCAGTTATCATAAGGAGATTAGAAATATATTCCGCAAAAATGACATCTCACTTGATGGTTCCAGGTTCATGACATTTTCAGACATACTGGATTTTGAGAAGATGTCTCCAAATTTGCTTAAGGTGCTAATGCTTTACAAAAATGTGCCGTGGGCTTTATTTATTTGTTTGTTTACTCTGCTGCACCCCACAATGTAATGAATACCTGACTACGGCTATGCATTCCAAAAATGTATCAGATTGAGGTTGGATCAACCGCTTTAGTGTTTGTTTGGGAATGTACTGAGACCACCCATCTCCTATGGCTCATTGTGCTGATGTTGTGATATGCACAATAGTGTGATTGTTTGGTTGGATTGCACCAAGGGGAGAAACAAACCAGGGCTAGTTTTTAATGCACTTAACATCTCATTTATAGAGGTAAGAATGAAAAACTTAAATCTGCTCTGATTTTGTTCTTTTTCATCCATTTTCAAACTTTTACTCTTTTTTTCCGCCTCTAGTTTGTAGAAAAACCTCATAAGACGTAAACCAACTATACAAGCTGTTATTTTCCACATTAATTTAAGTGTAGTTCCCAGTATCAGCAAAAGGAACTGCCTCTTTCCTGTATTTCCTGAACCATAGTGTGGGCCCAATGAACACCAGCCTTATCTGAAAATGTCCAAATTGTTTCCAAGCACCAACCCCTTTGGTTGGAAGTTGTTTGTGTATTGATAGAGCTCTCCTCATGGCCTTTTGTTCAAACATATTTTCAACATCGGTATGTCTGAGTGTAGCAGCCAAATCCTGACCTTATGTCTGCGCTGTAACACGGCTCCCTGTGTGAGGAAGCATGTGGAGTGCTTTGGGTGTGCTGGTGAGTCACCATTTCCCCTGATGGAGATCATTTGGCTCAGGTCATCTGCCTGCTACCAGATTTGGAGGGCGACAGAGTCTCATAAAAGTTCAGGGCAAAAGGTCATCTGTGGAAACAAGTTGCTGCCATGTAAACAATTTTGTTTTTGCAGTTTATAGACAAGGTTGGTGTTTCTTTCCCCATTTATGCCTCAATGATGCGATCTTAGATCTTCTTAAAAATAATGTGTTCTGTGTTGTAAACGTTCTTCCCCTTTGCATCTTGCATTTTAAAAAATTACAAAAATGTTACATATTATCCTGACTTATTTCATTTAAGATCAGTTAAACAGTTTTGTTAGTTTTTCTGGATTATTTTTGATTTGTTGCTGGTATATTAAAGGCAGTAGATGGAAACTAGGCCTCTTCTTGGCAGCCTTACTTCATGTTAGCTCAGTTGTCATAAATTTAAATAAATTTTCCTCTGTTTCTCAACCTGAAATATAATATTTTTAAATTATAGCCAACATGAGAACATGAAGATAAGCAAAAAATATTTCCCAGCATTTCATCTTAATATACACTATATTGCCAAAAGTATTTGCTCACCTGCCTTGACTCACATATGAGCTTAAGTGACATCCCGTTCCTAATCCATAGGGTTCAATATGACGTCGGTCCACCCTTTGCAGCTAGAACAGCTTCAACTCTTCTGGGAAGGCTGTCCACAAGGTTTAGGAGTGTGTTTATGGGAATTTTTGACCATTCTTCCAGAAGCGCATTTGTGAGGTTGCACACTGATGTTGGACGAGAAGGCCTGGCTCTCAGTCTCCGCTCTAATTCATCCCAAAGGTGTTCTATCGGGTTGAGGTCAGGACTCTGTGCAGGCCAGTCAAGTTCATCCACACCAGACTCTGTCATCCATGTCTTTATGGACCTTGCTTTGTGCACTGGTGCACAGTCATGTTGGAAGAGGAAGGGGCCAGCTCCAAACTGTTCCCACAAAGTTGGGAGCATGGAATTGTCCAAAATGTCTTGGTATGCTGAAGCATTCAGAGTTCCTTTCACTGGAACTAAGGGGCCAAGCCCAGCTCCTGAAAAACAACCCCACACCATAATCCCCCCTCCACCAAACTTTACACTTGGCACAATGCAGTCAGACAAGTACCGTTCTCCTGGCAACCGCCAAACCCAGACCCGTCCATCAGATTGCCAGATGGAGAAGCGCGATTCGTCACTCCAGAGAACGCGTCTCCACTGCTCTAGAGTCCAGTGGCGGCGTGCTTTACACCACCGCATCCGACGCTTTGCATTGCACTTGGTGATGTATGGCTTGGATGCAGCTGCTCGACCATGGAAACCCATTCCATGAAGCTCTCTGCGCACTGTTCTTGAGCTAATCTGAAGGCCACATGAAGTTTGGAGGTCTGTAGTGATTGACTCTGCAGAAAGTTGGCGACCTCTTCGCACTATGCGCGTCAGCATCCGCTGACCCCGCTCCGTCAGTTTACGTGGCCTACCACTTCGTGGCTGAGTTGCTGTCGTTCCCAAACACTTCCATTTTCTTATAATACAGCTGACAGTTGACTGTGGAATATTTAGGAGCGAGGAAATTTCACGACTGGATTTGTTGCACAGGTGGCATCCTATCACAGTTCCACGCTGGAATTCACTGAGCTCCTGAGAGCGACCCATTCTTTCACAAATGTTTGTAAAAACAGTCTGCATGCCTAGGTGCTTGAATTTATACACCTGTGGCCATGAAAGTGATTGGAACACCTGATTCCAATAATTTGGATGGGTGAGCAAATACTTTTGGCAATATAGTGTATCTTGCTATAAACCCAGAAATTGGACGCATATGATATGTTGGATTATTCTAGTAAACACTCTTTTTAATTCTAAACATTCCTGAACAAAGTTTCAAACTAAAAGTATCACAATTTATTTTATGTATTTATACCAAATAGGTATTCAGTTCAGGTAATAATGATTATCAGGGAATAAAACTTCTAAATGACAGGGTCACACAATATCTTAATGCACTGCAAAAACAATCAAATCTAAATATGAAATTTTTTCTTAAAATAACTGCATTTTTTGTAGAATTGAGGAGGTACGTGAGACACTTTGCCAACAGAACTATACAATTAACATTCAAAATAAGAAAAAAACAATTGCATTGTCTTATTTCAAGTGCATATTATCTAATTATCTAGTTTTAAGATAGAAAAATACTCATTTCGTTTGCAAATCATCTTATTTACCCACTCAAATTTAGCGGAAATATGTTTATTTTAAGACATTTTTACTTATTTCTGGGTGATTTTTGCAGTGTGAAAGTATGCATTCCTCTTGAGCTTTTTAAAGTTTTGTCAAATTGAAACCAGAACCTTCAATTTATTTATTTTGTTTTTAGGGTTTTGAATCCATACATTATTGTGGATCACAAAGAGCTGGAAGGAAATGATACCATCTTTTGTTGTGTTACTCACTACCATCTTTTGAGTAGAGGTTTCAACTCCAGTCCTTAAGGATCAACACTGTGCAGTTTCTTACACAGTATTTGGTTTCTTCGCCAGAGTCAAAGATCCAGGTAATAATCAGGACAAAGAAATGTAGCTGCATGCCTCCAAAAACCAATCAGCCTCTTGATTTGGGTTTGTTGGACCAGGATCTTGTTGGCCCAGTGGGCACTGACCCACGAGACCCGCGATAAAAAGAGTTTAATTTGAAGAATCAGGTTGAGCTCAACTCAGCCAGATTAAAAACATGACAAACAAAACCTTTTCAAAATTAAGCAATAAATAATGTGCAGGAGAAATTATCTCCTCAGGAGGTATGTGTTGGCTGGTTTGGTTTTGGTGGATTCAGAGTAATTGGGGGACAGATCCTAAAAGAAGGACGAATGTAATGTAGTGTCCTGTGGTAATGGAGCAAATCAAATCAATAATTACAAGCAGATGCCTTTTAAAACGCCACATCAGATACACAAATTCACCAATGTTTGTGCTTTTTCTGTCTTTTGTATATTTTTTTCTTGAAATTAACAGTTTGGTAAAAGTATTTACATTTTTTTTTACATTTTGTCTTGTTACAAAAACAAGAATGAATGTACTTTAAGGCTATTGTGTGACATAACAGAATTAAGTAAAGCATAACTAAAGTTGAAGATGATTTATGGTTTTCAAACATTTTTTTAAAGAGTAAAATGTGGTGGTGGCAGCTTTATGCTGTGGGGATGCTCTTCCATAGCACAGACAGAAAATGTAAAGCTGGTGGAAGCCAATCTCAGCTAATTAATAGTTAGTGCCAGTTTTTATGTATTTACATGTTATTGTAATTACAGTTTTTCTGTGAAGGCCTCGGAGGTTTGCTAAAGACATGGCAGGAAGAACAACCTATAAATTGACTCTAGAGGAGCTGCTGTGATCGAAAAAAGCTTTAAATTTAGGGCTTTATGAACCCCATTTAAAGTTAGAGACAAGCTGATGTAAAAGGTTCCTCAGGTCAGGTTAGACCAAAATAAAACTTACTTGTCAAAATGGAAAACATCTTCTCTGGTGTTAAGATGGCTCATTCTGACCTCTTCATCCAAACACTGACACATGGTGGAAAACATGATGCTGTGGAATGATGCTCTTTGGCAAAACAGAGAAGGCAAAAATGATTTATGGATAAAAAAGATGAAAAGGGAAAATAAAAGACCTAAATCAAACCCATTATCTTAACAGGGCTTAAAATGGATGCTAAAAGATGGTCCCCACCCAATCTAAACAAGTTCAAGTATTTTCCCAAGAAAATTGGGAAATATCCTGCATAGTCCTGCTTCACTGGTCCACTCTGCTCAGTGTCAGCTTGTCTTCTCTGTCACTCATCCTTTAGGAGTTGATTTAACATTTGTTCATGTTCTAAACTGTCCAACAAAACATCTCATCCCAGGGCAGAGGGAGTATCTGTTATCCACAGTGGAGTAAACCTTTAGTTCACATTTTCTCTTTATATAATATCTGATGTCAGTGTTATGGAATCCAAAATATATCCCCTAATCTATCCTCCCTCTACCCAGCTATATTCTATAATCCATATCCTAAAAAGGACAGGGGAGATGAAGGTTGGATTTGGATGAGGGGTCAGTGGTGGTCTGGGTCACAGAGGGGTATAAACAGGCCGCCATAGTACACTGATGCTCACGGTTTCTTGGTCTGACTCTCTGTGGATGCTACAACTCCATTTTTCTTTTTTTTATCTCTTTTTTCCCCTGATTGGAACCAAGCATGACTTTCTACAGACATTCAGGTAAAAATTAATCTAAAAAAGCAGATTGATGAGTTTAAAAATGTACCTCTTACTTCACAATAAAAAAAAACCGGGACTCTTGTTTGTTTTGGCGTGCTCTCATCATCAGAGCTTCAAAAGTTGAGTGTTTTTTTTTTATTAAGCAGAAGCGTATTCCAAAAAATGTCAAAGAAAAATTAGAAGGAATGTGTTTTCCTCAAGAAACAGAGTTTGCATTTTGGAAAGTCTTTTTTTCTTCAGTTTTTTAATAGTTATCAGATCAACAATAATCAAATTTATCATTTTCATTCCTGCAAAGATTCATCTTATTTTTAGTTTTGCAAATTCTAATAAAAAAATTGAACATTTACATTAACATTTATCCTTGTTTGGCTGATTAGAAAACTGATGTGCTCCTCTCAGATGACTTGTGTAAAAGGTTTTAATGATAAAACATAACACTTCCTGTTCTTCGGAAGGAAAAAAATGAATCAGGTGCTGAATAACTTCACATTTACGCAATATGTTTCACCTTAGCCTTATGCTGAAGCTGGTTTTTACTCATTATGTAAGATGTAGTTTAATTTCTACAACACAAGCCTTACTAATAATATAAAACCATGTTAAAATCAGCAGGCTAATCCATTATTGTCCATAAACTGGAATATCATTTTTCTGCCTTTTCTCATATAGTTTGTAAACTGCTATGACACTGATTATTTCTTGACTGATAATTAATGGTCTAACTATTGATTTTAATGCATTGTGGTGTTTACCATTCATTTTGATAAGAATTAAAAACTACTCATCATTCCCTAAAAAGATTAAGAACTAACTTACAAAGGAATCTTAGGAAAGTAAAATTATACAGTATCTACATATTTTTCTGATTCTTATTTTATTGTTCTTTACATCTAAGGATTTTGTAGCTCTTGGGAAACTTTTACTTGTATTTTTGTATGCTATTGTTATTTTTTCTGCTGTTTTGGCAGTATCTATAAAGTATGATTCTTAATTAGATATTAAAAAAACAACAACAACCACCTGCAAGCTTGTAAACACATTCAACATGTTGAGTAATGTGGCATTGCTTGCTTAAAACAAATAAAAATATATTCTGCACGTCGTTTCCCTGTAAGCTCAGCAATAGACAACAAATCAATCTAAAACAAGGTATTTTGTACAGAGAATCTTTTTATTATTATCTTTCTGTGTTCAGAAAAAAAAAATAGTTTGCTATTGTAACCACCTAAATATTTATCAAACATCTATCAAAGTTCATAACAGGCTTCAGCATGTTATCTGTAACAATAGCTACATCGTTATCCTCTTTTTTTTTATTTGCTTCAAATAAAAGCGTTTGCCAAATGCCTAAAAATCTGTATGACATTTCATTTAAAAGCAACAAATTATAGAAACAATCACATAAATCCAGAATTTATAATTTTGCTTTTATCTATATGACAAAATAAGTATTTTAAGAACATGAAAGAATGTTTTACATTTATTTCTATTAAAATTACACCTTTGATCGTATTCGAATCAGAGCGTCGGCAATCAACTGGTTAGATACTATGATATAATGACTTTCTCTATTCTGAATATGGTTTAAAACTAAGATCTAGGTAAGATGTAATGTTATTGGTCCATCAGTGCATTAGCTGGTACTTTAATGGACCTATTGGAATTAAACCTATGCTTTAACATGCAAATAGGGATGATCAAGAGTTTCTTATTAGTTCACCACTACTAACTCTATCATAGAGTCACTAAAGTAGGAAAATTGGCTCTGGCTGGATAGTCCTCTATAAATCACAATCAGCTAAAAGAGCTTGATTGATACAACTTGAGTATCAAGTTGTATCAATGGGATACTATGGCCTCTATATAATGTAAGATAACCCAGTCAAGGCATTAAAGGGATTGAAATGGATCTTATTTTACTGTAGTCATGAAAGATGCTCTCCATAAGTCCAGATTTCTGTTAGAGGAATTTGAAATTATAGCGTAAAGATACCTTAATCTATTTTCCCTGGATGTCATGCTAATATCTGACTATCAGAATGCCACAGACGTTGTTTTTTGTGGAAAAATAGATTATAAGTCATGTTGTTGGTCAGATCATCTCTTAACTGAGGTGACCCTTTCCACTGTAGAGGACTTCTCTCCAAAGTGGACGCAATTTTTATAACCCCCTCCCTCCATAACTGAGGGTTAGTGCGTATAGACAGATGGCAGCTGGCACTCTGTTTGCAACAAAGATTAAAGTAAGGACCAACAATAGCTGCTTATCCCCAACAGGCATCACTTTGTGGCCCTTTAGTTCTTTAAATAGATATTCTGATCCGCTCGGCTCACCAGAAGCCTGTGTCAGACAGGTTGTGTTATTTCTGGGTCCCCACTCCATCCCTTATCCCTGCAGCACAGCTGCACATTGCTGCCTGGCACCAGAACTTCCCATCCGTCCGTCCGCACACAACAGGGGTCAGACCGTGCTGTGGGAGGCTCAACACGCTCACTCATGGCTGTTTAATACATCCCACTTAAATAGCATCATTAATATTTGCTTCGTTCCCATGGTTACCCGGTCAAAATGTCATTCCACCCATTGTTTCCTGCTTAGTTCCTGTTGTTGTAGATCAGATCAAAACAACTGTGCTGCTGTGCAGGTAATGATCAGCTGATGGAAAGGGTGATGTAGATAGATATCCGGTTACATGAAACTACAGTTTCTGTGGTGAAAATCCAAACTGCTGATGAATACAGGCTAAGCTGAGTTGTTTACCCAAGCAGCTGAAGAGTTTAACGATGCAGAGTTCAGATGAGGTTTGGGAAGAATGAGCCTTTTAAGATACAAGGGCTTTGCAGGGGAAGTCTGATAAAACCAGAGCGAGCAGCCATCTGTGTTACCTCACTCACACATCTCTCATCGGTTTGGTATGTTGCTGATTGAAAGAGCCTGAATTCTGACCGGGTCTAGCATGTCTGTCGCAGAATTTGGAGAAAGATTTGCCCTTCATTTAGGCTATATTTCTCGTTTTGCTTTACAGTAAAGTTGTCTGATAAATTCATTTTGAGAGACAAAGAGTCACAAAGATTGCAGATAGACAGAATAAAATGTAAAACCACATTTTATATATTTTTTCCTAAAATGTGTTTGCATTTCTACTTTTTAATGCTCCAAAATAGGGCCAGCTTCACATGCAAGAAGGGAAAACATGTCTAGCCAAGCAAAAATCACATCAGATAAAGTTATTGTATAAATAAATGTTGAAAATGTAACAGTCCATGTTAAAGATGGTTAATACAAGGGATGCACCGATCCGATATTTTTATCGGTATCGGTCCAGATATAAGGGGAAAAAAATAGATCGGTATCGCTGAAAATTGAATTGATATAGGGGCCGATCTATTCATTCTAACTCTATGCTATGCTCTGCCGTCATGCAGCAGCACAACAACACAACACGGCCATATTGTTTACAATGGAGCGAGTGAAAGGATCTGTGGTGTGGAGGTTTTTCACGCTCTCTCAGCCTACTACTCCAATGGCTACGTGCAATATTTGTGGGAGAAATGTTCCGAGGGGCGGTATTAAATCTTCAAACTATAACGCCACCAACTTATTGAAACACTTCCAGAAGTTTCATAACAAGGAAGATGCTGAGATTATCGGATTCGGCAAACAAAAAGGAAGCAGCTTACTTCTTTGGAAAGAAATGAAATTTTTCCATGCAACAGTATAGAGTTCAAAAAAATCACAGAGATGATACTTGATAATGACACTTTTTTAAAAATGTTGATCAAGTCAGAGGACTTTTGGTTTAATATTTTGTGCACAGTTGTTAAATAAATGAGTCATAACTTTTATATTTGGGTTGTTTCCACTTTTATTTATTTAAGAAAAGGGAAGTCAAAGCATATGCACAGAAGAATGATCCCAGTTTTTTTTTACACAATAAAACAATTTTTTAGGTAATGTGTCTGTTTTTGGTGCTGTTTTTGGTATCGGTATCGGCCGACTTTAAACTTCAAATATCTGTATCGTATCAGAGGTGAAAAAAGTGGATCGGTGCAGCCCTAGTTAATACTAATGAAGTTGATAGCTCACCTCTCAGTGAGTCAACCACAACCACAGATATAGTGAAAGGGTTTTTAATCAAAGCACATCCAAGTGTTAAAATGGCGGGTCAAAATCTAGATCTAAATCAAATACAGGATGTTTAGCAAAATCTGAAAGTTACTTTTTATAAATGATCTTTCAGTCTGACTGAGCTAGAGTTGTTTTTGTTTTGTTTTTTCAGGGCTAGGAAAACTGACTTAAACCCTTTGTAGAAATCAGCCGAGAGAGAGAGAGTGCAAACATAATTTAATGGCAATTTAACTTGTCATTTTTTTGTTGTGAAATAACCGTGCCTTTCTCTTCTTAAAAATGATGCTTGACTTTGTGTTGGTTTATCGCATAAAATCCAAGCTTTTACAACCCCCACAGTCAAACATGGAAGTGGCACGATCATACTGTGGGGATATGGCATGTAATTTGGGAGAGGGTGGAGGTGTCAGCAGCACTTAGGGGAAAGATGGATAATGCTCAAAAAAGAAAATATAGCTGCACAATCAGCTAGAGGCTGCACAAGACTGAACACTAGAACCATGGTTCACATTCTGGATGGTAAAAGCCACAGCAAGCCCTGCAGGAGAAAGGTTTAGATGAAAGCATGTTTGAACATTAGAGTGGCCTAGTTAAAGTCCAGAAATAGGCCATTCTGTGATTGTCTACTATATAACATCCTTAAAATTATTTGTTGACAAAAACTGTTGGAAACACTTCGGTTGTATTGCCGTTTCAAATTTGTTTCATTTTTTTTTTTCTTCACACATGGTACCAAGGATAAAATGCAGCCCTTCTCCCTATTTCCTAAATGAGCCTTTAGCTTTTATCTGCTTTTTATTTTTAGGGAAACTCTGCCCCCATCTGGTGACTCAGCACAAACTAGATTTGTTTCCTTCACCATTTAGGTCCCAGGAGTTACCTCACCTCCACCATGACAGATCGCTTCGACTGTTACTACTGCCGGGATAACCTGCATGGGAAGAAGTATGTAAAGAAGGATGAGAAGCATGTGTGCACCAAGTGCTTTGACAAACTCTGTGCCAACACCTGTGCCGAGTGCCGGCGCCCGATTGGAGCTGATTCAAAGGTAAAGTTACCAAAACACAAACACAATTTAAACCAATTTTAAACACGTTGAGCTAAACACACTGATATGACTTTAATGTTTTTTTTTTTTATAGATTTTACATGACAAGATAAAGTAGAACATATTCATGATGCATAATGAAAAGGACTTTTATCTTTTTCATTTTCTAAATGAGAAGCTTTTTTTTATTAAGTCCCCTATTAATGGGCTGGACAGGGGCCAGTGTCCCTGTAGATATGTCCCTGGCCCCTGAACCAAATAAATAATACTAAATAAATGTCCAGTTATGATATACACTGGCACAGAAACCATAAAAAAAATTGAGGTTGTTTTCCTCACAGTTTCTTTTTAATAATGATTGAAAATTTAAGTTGCTCCACATTTAGCTTATGTCAAATTCCAGCAGGCTCAAGCTTTTAGCTGCTAAATCTTAGGTGACCTTGGATGCAAGTGGCTCTTCGGCTCACTTAATATTTCCACCAATAACCCTTTATAGAGCATCAGTGAGGTCTAGAAGCACAATATTTATATATCAGCAATTCAGCAAAGCTACAGCTGTGTGGCTGTACATGTTATTTTGGCATTAGACCAAGTAGATGAGCCCTTGAATTATATATTACTGACTGTAAATGAAGCTCTAAAAAAGATAAGTTAAGAAAAAAAGGGTAAAGCTAAATGAAAAAGTTAAAAATCTAATTGAACGGTTAAAAAGTTAATAAGCTGAGTTAAAAAGTAAAAACTGTAAGTGGCTGTATCAGCATTAATGCTCTATGGTTACGCTGTAAAAAAAAATGTGTTTCATTCACTCTGTGTGTTTTTCATGGATCTCTTATAGAAACACTTTTGTTATTCTTCTCAATATATTAAGGCAATCGGGTGTGTCTTGTTATTATATTGACATAAATTTTTGCCATAAAAATATATATATTGTTTTATATTACAAAAGTAAAAGGGCCTGTCCTAAAGCTAAAGCCTGGAAAACATTTTCAAATGTTAAAAATGAATGACCTACCTCCTATTCTTTGGTTTCAGGAGCTGCACCATAAGAACCGCTATTGGCATGAAGACTGTTTCCGCTGTGCCAAATGCTACACGCCGCTGGCAAATGAGCCTTTCAGCGCCCGAGATGATGGCAAGATCATGTGCGGCAAGTGTGGTGCCAGAGAGGACGGCAACCGCTGCCAGGGCTGCTACAAGGTGGTGATGCCAGGTGGGTTGGACGCCTCCTATAGTTACGACTGTTTTCTTGAACTCCACTAAGTTTATATTATGGTTATGCATTTTGCAAATTACCACTATTCACATTCTATGAGAGGGATTTGGGTGGGAAGTGCAGAAATAGAGTAGAGAAGGTTGGTGCTCAGAGGTATCAAAAGTATTAATGTTTATTACTCAAGTACAGTAGAATTATAAATCCTACTGTTTAATTAGAGTATCAACTTAAGCTTTTTAATCAAGTAAAACTATAAAAGTAGAATTTTCAAAACTATTAAAGGTAATGCAGGAAAACATGTTAAGGACAGATTATCTACGTCACAACCCTATTAAAGGAACATTTTTCTACAATTCTGAATATCTTCCTTGTACTTCATTTTCTTAGTTTTATATCTAATGGCAACATTGCCAAATTTAACTTTGCATCATCTTGAATAACGATTCATTTATGTGGCAAACAACAGGTTGGTGCAGCACCAAGTTCAACCACAAAGAAATAAATTGTCTGAATGAACCAAATTATTTTTTAGATGGTTTACATTTTTTTTTTAAAACACCGAGTCATAACAAAAATGAGCTTAAATTAAATTAAAGTAGTAGTAGTAGAAGTAGAAATAATTGCAAAAAAATATAAAGAGTAGAAGTAAAAAGTTGTCTAAAAATAATTACGACAGTATAGATAGCCAACATTTCTACTTAAGTGAGGTGATCAAGGATTTGTGCTTTGTTATTAAAAAACCTCTGTCTTTGCTACAGTTTGAGATCCCATCTTTAAGGTTATCCTTGTTTTAGACTAGTGCTCAGTTGGTGATTTTACCAAAAATAACACCTTGGATTATCTTAAACATGTTATGGGCCTCTAGAAATCCCTCGATACCCACAGAGTGGTGAACAGAGGTGCTGATTAAATAGCAGACTCGTTCTGGACCATAAGGAGGTTTTTATTGAAAAGGCTGGCTGACCAGATTATTCATTATCCACTGTTGAAACTGGCTTTATTTTCTCACGTTCAAAATGGCAGTGTAAAAGTCATTCTCACTGTCTTAATATTTTGCTTCCTAGGAGGCAGACTTTATTGTAATCCAAAGCTCTGTTGATCAGGTGTTTTTTCTAAGTACTCTCTGATTTGTTTTAAATGAATAAATAATGGAAAATATCTTCTAAGGTTTTTATAAATGACTGTTGGGATAAATCCGTGAATTCAGTTTATCCCAATTTCTTTTTTATAAAAAAACATAAATTGGGTATGAAGTGTGGGAAGTAATTTGGATGATCAATTGAAGAGCTACAGTTGTGTTCGAAATAATAGCAGTGCCTCAACAGCAGCAAGAAAATCACTTGTTTTATTAACATTTCAAACTCTATACCCCAGATAAGTTTCTGGGGGGGTAAAATAAAGGTATAGAAAACCAACAAACCCAACAGGACAGCAATGCATACTGTGGATTCTGTGAAATTGAATGATTAACTGAAAAGGGTGTGTTCAAAAAAATAGCAGTGGTGAGTTCAATTAGAGAGGGCATCAATTAGGGAGGGTATTCTGGGAAAAAAGGGTGTTAACAGGTGATCCGTATTTAAGGATCAAGACAACTGGCATGCTGGCTGTGCATTTGTCCTGAAAAAACAAGGAAAATGGGTCGTTCAAGACACTGTTCTGAAGATGAGCGTTTCCTAATAAAAAAATTGATTAAAGAAGGGAAAACATACAAAGAGGTGCAGAAAATCATTGGCTGTTCAGCTAAAATGATCTCAAATGCCCTGAAATGGGAGCAAAAAACTGAAAAACGAGGAAGAAAAAGAAAGACAACCCCTCGAATGGACAGAAGAATAGCCAAACTGGCGAAGACTCAGCCAATGATGGGATCCAAGAGGATCAAGCAAGACCTTCAGTTGACAGTGAGTACTGTGACAATCAGAAGACGTCTTACTGAGGTTAACCTTCCAGCAAGAAGCCCCCGCAAAGTCCCACTGCTGAGAAAAAGACATGTGCAGAAGCGTTTACAATTTGCCAAAGAGCACATTGACTGGCCTGAAAAGAAATGGCATAATATCTTGTGGACAGATGAAAGCAAGATTGTTCTTTTTGGGTCTAAGGGTCACGGGCAGTATGTCAGACGCCCTGCAAACACAGAATTCAAGCCACAGTACTCACTGAAGACCATTAAGCATGGTGGTGCAAGCATCATGATATGGGGATGTTTTTCATACTATGGTGTTGGTCCGATTCACCGCATACAAGGGATCATGGATCTGTTCCAGTACATCAGGATCCTGGAAGAGGTCATGCTGCCATATGCTGAGGAGGAAATGCCTTTGAGGTGGACCTTTCAACAGGATAATGACCCCAAACACACCAGCAAGCGAGCAAAAGCATGGTTCCAGATGAACAAGATTCAACTGATGGAGTGCCCAGCACAATCCCCGGACCTTAATCCCATTGAAAACTTGTGGGCTGACATAAAAAGTGCAGTGCATGAGGCAAAACCAAGAAACGCTGAGGAATTGTGGAATACAGTGCAATTATCCTGGGCTGCAATACCTGTGGAACGATGCCAGAAGTTGGTTGACTCCATGCACCACAGATGTGAAGCAGTCATCAGAAACCGTGGTTTTGCAACAAAATATTAGTTTAGGATACTCAGCTAGGTTCACTTATCAAGAATTTCTTTGTTTGTACAGTACATTTTTGAGTTTCCACGGAAAGATGGCAACACTGCTATTCTTTTGAACATGCCATTTCTTACTTTATTTGAAATATTATTATTATTTAAGTTTTGATGACTTTGCGCAATTGTTTTGCTTTGGAATAGAATGTACTGTGTCCCCAATGTATCTGTGTTCATTAAAGTACAATTTCTTTGAAGAATTTTGACATTTACTCATTTTTCTAAAGGCACTGCTATTATTTCGAACACAACTGTATGTATTTGTCATGTCTGCTGGATTCCATTCTACTGCTTAGAAAGCATGACTTTAATATACTTTATACATGCTGCAGGATGCACACTGCATGATACAAGCTGCTGCCCCCCAAGCATTTGTTTTCTATTCCTCAATGTTATTAGAGGCCATGCTGTGTGCAGACATGTTCAAGTATAACTGCTAGTCACTAAATGCATGAAATGGTAGCTAAGATCCAAAGATTACTTTGAAACGCCATCCAGAAAGCCACTGTCGGGATGGAAAATGGAGGAAATTCTTTAAAAATTTGATAAAAATTCACTATATTTAAAAATTGTATTTTGTTTTTGTAGGATCCCAGAACGTGGAGTATAAGAACAAAGTGTGGCATGAGGAATGCTTCACCTGCTTTGAGTGCAAGCAGCCAATCCGTACACAGAGTTTCCTTGCCAGGGGTGATGACATCTTCTGCGCTCCTTGCCATGACAAGAAGTTTGCCAAGAAATGCTATAAGTGCAAGCAGGTACAGGGAGCTACAGTGTTATGGTACATGCGTTGTCAGCTCAACATCTTTGTCAACATGCTCCTTTCCTTGTTTTATCAAGCCTATCACCTCTGGAGGGATCAGCTACCAGGACCATCCCTGGCACTCTGAGTGTTTTGTGTGCGAAACCTGCCGTAAACCGTTGGCGGGAACTCGATTCACCGCTCACGAGGACCACGTTTATTGCGTGGACTGCTACAAGACCGACGTGGCTAAGAAATGCCACGGCTGCAAGAACCCAATCACAGGTAGGACCAACGTTAAATATATGGTCTTATTATAAAGAAAAAGTAAAATAACACACTGGATTTTTATTAAATCTTAACAAGAGATGGTGTTTGTCTCTCGAGGCTGCAACTAATGATTATTTTGCAAATGGACAACATGTGGACTATTTTTTTGATTAATAATCAGATAATCAAAGGTTCCTTAAAAAAAGATTTTTTACTTAATTAAACGAGGTGAAACTAAAACTTGTCCACTTGAGTTCTGAAAAGACGAAAAAATTTATTTTTTTTATCTTAAATGCTAAATGTTGATATATTTTTTAATTTTCATATAATTGCTGTTCTAAATGAGTTGCTCTGTCAGGTAAGGGGATATTTTAGTCTCCATAACTAACGATTAACCGATTACTAAATTAGTTGATGATTATTTCAATAATCGATTAATCACAATTAAATTAATTGTTGTCAGCCCTATTCACTACATAATTATATTTAATAATTGTATTTATGTGTGATATGAAAAAAAAATATATATTTTTATCTTAACGGGGAAACTCTTGGAAAATGAAGATGCTGAGGAACTTTACACTGTAATAATTCAATGAATACAAGAACAGTACATCATAGAGACACAACAGAACCTACAGCAACACAATCTTCAAATTATGTGAACTATGACCCTTTTAGACCCGTCTGTCAATATTAGGAGTAGACAAACTGTCCTGTTTTATAGGTTGGTTCCATTTTGCATTTAAATAAGAGCTAGGAACCATACTGTGGTATGGGAGTGTCTTATCCAGATTGGTTGTTTCTGGTTAAAGCAACAGAAGTTTAGATCTTTAATAAGTGGAAATATAACATCAATGAGGCATTTAAAGAAATAGTTCAGACTTTCTGACATGGAGTTCTCAATTGGGGAGGTTAATATATTTTTCTGTATAATCAAGGTAATACCCACTGATGTCTTTGAATGTCTGTTCTGCAGGGTTTGGCCATGGCACCAACGTGGTGAACTATGAAGGATACTCCTGGCACGAGTACTGCTTCAGCTGCAAGAAATGCTCCCTCTCCCTCGCCAATAAGCGCTTCGTTATCAACGCGGAGCAGATTTACTGCCCCGACTGCGCTAAGAAGCTGTAAACAGATACGCAAAACATCTTTATTCATGAGGAAACCGCTTCAATTGTAGTTTATGACTAAAATGAATTTTTTCTGAATAACATGCTAGTCTCAAGGTTTCTGCAAACTGCTTCTGCACTAGAGCTTCCTGGCAACCATGCAAACTGCATCTAGACTCCGTCTGCAACACGGCAACAGAATTTGTATGAGAGGGTTTAATTCTGATGTTTTTAAGATCATCTGTTGCTTTGTAAGAATGTCAGTGCCTTCTAGGAATCGTTCCTGGATGAAATGCTTTTATCCTGCCTGCTGTCTGAAAATACTTGCTTTGATTAATAATATTGCTGGATTTGAAATAAAAAAGCTGGATAATAAACCAGTTGTATTATTAAAAGTTGAAGTTTAAAGGAAATAAAAAACATTAAACCCCCTTTTTTTTGCCTTCAGTACAGGAAACAGAATCACAAGAAAGGAATATTTCCGCTTTAGACTTTATTGTTTTAACAGCCTGTATCATATCTGTTCTCTTTAGATAAATGTACAGTACAGGTTTTATTTGCAGATAGGGCGTTTATAGCAAATCGTTCAGAGAAATATTAATATTCACAGAGTCGCCCTGGTTGGGTGGACTGATTGTCGAGGCGGAGGTTGAAGACAACGTCAACTGTAAGAATGCAATAAAAACAGTACATCTCAAACTAACACCTTTCTATTCTATCAATGATAACATGGAGGACAGATCATTTAAAGTTGTAGTACTTAGATGCAGCAGGACCCAAAAAAAAAAAAACATTATTTGCAACTACAAAAATGATGAAAGGTAACAGGGTGGATTTGAATGAACAGCTAAAAAGAAACAGAAAAATATCACAGCTCTTCTAGCTCGTCTTACAGTGAAGCTACTCAGTAACAAGTCATCTCTGATAGGGCGTTGCATTTGCTACAGGACTTTATAAAATAAAAGCTGAAAGCAAGCAGCTATTAGAAATATGGTAAGTCATGAAGGACGGTGTATGGATTATGTAACATTCATGGAGCTTGTTAATCAAAGCTCGAATAATTTAGGCCCACAGTCTGTTCATGTACAAAGAGATTCTTAGTTACTCAGCAGAGAACAAGGCAAAGAAAAAGGTGCCCAAAACCTCAGATTTGGATCATTAAAGCAAAGAAAGTATTAATGTTACATCACATTTCAAGAAAAAAAAAAGAGAAAGAGGAATAGTTAGACAAAAGAAAAAAACAAGACATTTTTTTTGTTTGGTGAAGAAGCTCCCCTTTACTAGAGCAGGACAGCTGAAACCTGAGCTGATGTGCCGCATCATTTAACAGGATAGAAACGATGGGTTAAACATGCTGCCAAGGACCAAACCGGCTATAAAAACTACTGCGCGTTTGCTTTAATTAGTTTTAAACAAACTGAAAACAAGGTGAACATATCAGTGAGTCAAATAGTGAACCTCTAGTTGGACCTTTTTCTTCACAGAGCCTCTTTGTCAGAGGATTTATTCCACTAACTTAAGCAAGCCAAGCTGAACCCAACCAGTCACAGCGCACCTTTCAAACCATCTTAAACCTAACAGTAACAAATAAGAACACCCTTATAAACCACACCCTGAGCCGCTCCTTCCTAAACATGGCGTCACTTGCCTAATACTGCTTATTTACAAAACAGAACACTTAAATACAAATATAAACAATCTGCCAATTTCTACACAAGAAAAAAGCTGAAATGCATTTTGTCAGGCGTAGCAGCTAATGAGAGGAGGTGAAACTGAGGCAGAGGGAAAAAAAACCCCAAGCACTCAAATTTTTACATTAATTAAAAGTGAACTACAAAGCTCACAACAAACATATCCTAAAGAGATACCTTGGATTGCTTGGAGTGATGTTCTGTGGATTTTCTCATCAGTAATAGCTCTGCCCGCTGCAGATAAGAGAATAACAGATATATTCACACAACTTTAAAAAATCCAAACTATCCCTTTATCAAGTTTGTTACATTGACAGTTTTTTTTTTTTTTTTATGCAAAAATAAGAGTTTGAAACCAAAACCAGATTAATTACAGTGATGTTAGTAAACATTAGTTCTATTCACAGACAGCGACCATGAATGCTAAATAAACAGCACTGAACTGTGCCGAGTCAAAACCTTTCCCCTCTGTGGTTATGAAGCCCTCTAGTGGCCAGAAAACAAAACAAACGAAGGGAGTGAGAAAGCCGGTCCTCAAAAACAGACAAACCTCCATGTTGTAGAGCAGGACGCAGGTCACCAGGCTGTGAGCATGAGCCTTAAAACTGATACTCTTTTTAGCGCTTAGAAGAAAATTCCACATTGGGAGATAAAAGGTAAGGCCATACGTTGCTGTGTGCCACAAAAAGCAGCTGGTCAAGTAAATTTAGTTGAACCACATGAAATAAAAAGCATTCTGTCTGAACCCAGACAGATCTAGTGATGTATTAACATTTCTTTCAATAATAGTATATATTTCACATGGCCTGACTTAAATTGGTCACAAAACATTTTTCATACAAGAGAGAAAACAAGACTAAACGTGATAATAATTACAATGAAGCAAAAATTAATAAATTATAAGAATGCACCCCTAATAAAAAAGTTTCTGACACAAAATTGTAAAGAATTGAAAACAAAACGAATGAAGAGGAATATGAAACATTTCCCTGAAGTGTGTGAGTGACATTTTCATGTATATTTATAGATATATATATAAACTTAATCCAATGTGTTTCTATTTTGTTTGGGGTGCAAATGCAGCACTTAGGGTAGTCTTTCTGTTTCATCTTGTGCGCCTCCTGCAGAAAGAGGTGAAGCTGTTTGGAACGGCTGGAAGATTCTTTTAGGGATGTCAGCTGGAAGGAAAAGTTGGAGTGCAACATGAAGAGGCTTCTCAGCGACAGCTACAGCATTACATTTCTGCAGAGATAAAAAGTAAAGTTAAAGTCTGCAGGGAGATTACATATGGTGAGTATTTAAAGCAGTGGAATCCTACCTGACATGGCTTCTATAGGTTGATTAGAGGAGTGGAGGGTGCTGATGGGGGCCCCCTTGTCCTCAAAGGCCACCCTGGTCCCATCTGCACTCCCGTCACAGTTGATTAAAACCTGGTTACAGTCCCCGGACTCGATGCGAGTCTTGGAGTGGACGTTGGTGTCGATGAGCTCCTCGAAGCTCCACTGGCTGGACTTCCCATTGAGGCTGGACACCAGCTCCTCCTTGGTGGAGTCCTCTTCATTCAGGAATTCGGAGCCCTCAACGAGGCGGCTCTCTGGAACTGGACTGGAGATGTGGAGAAGACAATTAATACGAGGGGCAGATACTAGTTGTTTTTTTTACTTTCACAGACTTTTTTCAGTTCTAAGTCAACTTTAAATCAACATTTAAAGAATAAATATGCAGATTCAGCAGGAGTTTATTTCCCTCTGGGATTAATAAAGCTGAGAATTCTAAATTGTAATTGTTTTGGAAGATAGTTAAAGTATTTCAATGCATATTAGGAAAAACCTACAATAACAGACTGACTTTTAGGATAGACCAACAACCAATGGTTAATCGGTCTTTGACAGTGTGCGTCACTTCCGCAAAAGCGCAATGCATTTAGGGTAGTTAGCGCCATTTCTGTGGTGAAGAGACAGCAGCAACTAACAACAGAAAACTAACAGAGAGTAGAGGTGTTCTAGTTGCTTCCGTTGGAAATAATGGGACACTGGTGCTGCGTCAAAGGATGCAACAGTAATTCTAAACAGAAAACAGCAGATGGGGCCTTACGGTTTTTCGTATTCCACACTTGGAAAAAAAAATACGGACCGCAGACAGAGGACTTAACAAAGAGGCGTCGGGCTGCATGGGTCGCTGCTGTAAGAAGGAAAGACATCACGTTTCATAAAATATCTCCTCATGCTCGTGTTTGCTCTTTGCATTTTCAAAAAGGTAAGTCCTTATAAATATACACTAATAGAAATCAACACGCTGAAATGGTTTGCTTATAAAGTTGCAGGAGTTCATGTAAACCTACTGAAACATGCTGTGGAAGAGAAGCGGAAAGTGATGTTTGTTTTATTTCTTTTTTAGACCGCTAAAATTTAATAAATAATGCATTCTCTGTATATAATCATTTACACAATCTGCAATACAATTTTTTTTTTTAAATGAATAAATATATGTAAATACACTGTACATATAAAAACACTGTACATACCCACTCGTCAGCCAACTCACTGTATTTATTTATCCTGTGCAATCTACTTGTTCGTCTGTAAGCTTTTCAGTTTATTTATTTACCTCTGGCCTTACTAGTCCGATGTACTTGTGCTGTTTCGGTATAGCAAATTTCCCCACTGTGGGACACATAAGGTTATCTTAATTTATTACACATCTAATCTAATGGGCTCTGTTATTTAGGTGCTTTATATAGTGTTTTGAATAGATGTGTAAAACACTCAACCTTTCATCTACTTTGCAGGTCAACCCGCATATGAGATGATGGAGACTGACCCAGACTGGGCTCCATCCCTGCATCTGGGCCACACTGACATCAAACCAACAGACACAGACCGCTCTTTAAGACGTGGTTATCGGGAACAGCTGAAAAAGAATGCCCTGCAAGCAACTGAAACGGGGCTCCATCGGGCTGATGAAATCCTTGAGCAACAGGATGAAGTAACAAATGAGGCGACAGAGAACCCTAACCAGCAACAGACTGACACGCAGAAGGCTGCTGAAAACGTTGGCCGGCCAAACACCAAGGATGACACAGAAGGTGGTCGTCAGGAAGGACAGACAGAATGTAACCTGTGTGTGCTCAGGTGTGCAGAGATGAACCATCTTTTGGAAGAAAACAGAGAGCTGCGGCGTGAACTTGATGAGCTGCGGATCTCTGATTGCTTCTTTGGAGACACTAATGAAAAAGTCCAGTACTATACGGGTCTACCAAACTTGGTGACCTTTATGGCTTTGTTTAATTTTATGCTGCCTCTCATGTCTGCTCAAAATAAAATTCTCAGTCCATTTCAAATGCTTCTGTTAACCTTCATGCGTCTGAGATTGGATCTGCCCTCACAACACCTTGCTTATCTCTTCTGTGTTTCACCAAAGACAGTGTACAGAACATTCAATGAAATGGTGTCATTTTTATATGCAAATCTAAAGCGTGCAATTGTGTGGCCAGATAGAGACACCTTGCACAAAATTATGCCTCATCCGTTTGTGGAGGCCTTTGGACATAGAGTCACAGTGATTAGTGACTGTTTTGAAATTTTCACAGAGAAACCAGCTAATAAATGAATGCCAGATCAAGTACTGTTTCAACTTTCTTCTTCTTTTTTTATTCTTCTTTTCACACAAATAGAATTTTGCTTTTTTTAAAGTTACTTTTGAAAAATAACAGCAAAACAAATATAAGTTTCACCATCACTTCAAATATTAACAATGTTTCTGAAGTTGTAAAAATGTGTGTACAATAAAGAGTGGAGTTTGAAATTTGAAACAAGCGTTGTTATTATCTTTTCAATCAAGCAGAGAAGTTATGAAAATGCAATACAAAATCTCAAATACATAAATAATGCAGAACAGTGCAAAGCTTCAAATGTTTTACTTTGTCTTCCTCCCTCGTATATAGCAGATTGCTCTTTAGATTAAATTAGACGATTTTCATTTTCCCTGGACTTGTTTTCACTGTGGTCTTCCGTAGAGATATGACCTAACAGGTGATATCTGTGAAGAAGACTGCAGATCCCAGTGAAAACAGGCCTGGGTAAAGTGAACAGCAAATACAGTGTGCAACTTATCAATGTGCAAAAATTCTGACAAGTTTTTCCGTTCAGTCTGATGAGCAGCACAAACTACTCTAATAACTGCAGCGATCTGTGCAACTGCCCACAACATCTGCCTTGTCACTGTAATAATAATATATAATATCGTTCCCTAGCAGCTTTAGAAAGTTTGTGTGGGTAGGGTATCCGTTCAGTTTTCTTGTTCTTTTCCATTTAACTGATAATCCTCGCTGCTGGCTTGCAGCGCTCTCCTCTTGTTTTCTGCTGTTTTGTTTTTCTTCCGCTCACCACAAAAATGGCGCTAGGGGGCGTGTCAGTCACGTGGCTGACAAAGACCGATTGGACAGACTGGACCAGTGGTCATCAACCCTGGCCCTCAGGACCAAGTGCCCTTCACTTTAGCACACAGATTAAAATTATTGCTTTAAATCTACAGCAGCAGAAGTCTGCTAATCACATATTATTTATGTCATGGGTGGTAGGAAAAAAAGCCCTAAAACATGTGGGACAATGGGTCCCAAGGAACAGGATCTATGGAACAGACAGACAATGGATAGACGGATTCAATTCAGTTTATCAATATAGCGCCAGTTCACAGCACATATCACCTCACGGCTCATTGCAGAGACAATTCAATTAGATCAAATAAACAGATCTAAGGAAACCCAGCTGACAGCATCGGATCATACAGTCCTCTGGGTGATTTGGATGGACAGAACTTCCCATCCTGATTAAGGAAAAGTTCTAAACGTATATGACTTTTCTTAAGAATCAGTTTTTCATAAAAGAGCAAACAAACAGGAGCAGAAAGGATAAAATAAGAATCAGATTACTGGCTGCAGGAGTCAACCACATGTTCCATTCATACCGACTGAGGAGAGCAAAGAGAGTTCATTCAAAGTTTCCCAAGTTTCCACATTGAGGTTTTCCAACTAAGGGTCGTTATCATTACACTTAAATCACTGTGAATCCTGTTTTTTTTTTTTTTTTGGTGAGCTGTCTGTAGGATTTAATGTCAGGTTTTACAGTCTGTTCCTGTCATCTGCCCAGAGGCAGGATCAACAGGGAGTGTGTGTTTAAATGGGTGAATGACTGATTGTGGTGTGAGTAGCTTTGGAGATCCAGATTTGAAAAAAGGACAATAAAAGCACAGGACATTTAAAAGGTGTCCTTTAACTGAATGACTAACAATACATCAGATGCTTTAGGGAAACCACTATTTTTCATTGAAATAGTTGACTCTCTACTTGAATTAGGTGTTATGGATCGGGGGAAAGACAACTTATTAATATGTTATTCTAACCTACAGGAAAACATTTCCATTTTATTTCTTAATCTTAAGAAAGCTACTGTAAGGAGAAGTCTGGTCAGTGCTGCGTTCAATGATTTCACACCTTCCTGCCTGGGTTTCCTCACAGGTTGTTCCGTTGGTCTTCTCCTTGTCTTCCATCTCTGGATTCCCATTCATCTCACCTTCTTGGCTAAGTCCAGGGTCACCAGTGGACAAATTATCACAGTCGTCCTCCATGTTAATGTCATCTGTTTGAGTTTGATACAAGTCAGACTTTCACTCAGACTAAAACATAAAAAATAATCTAAATGTGAAAATCTTCGCACACTTGCCTTTGGCTTCACTTTTCATCTCATCCAGGCCTTCATCGCCATCTTTATCGTCCTCTCTCTGCACAGCGGAAATATCAAGGCATCGTTGATCACTCAAAGAAACACTTAACATTTAGAAACCGTATGAATTTGCAATCACAGGTTAATCTCACCTTAAAGTCAGTGTTGTCCCCTTTTCTAGTTCGCTTCATTATTTCCTCAATTCTCTGAAAATTAAAAACAAAAGTGACTTCAAAAAGACGAGGCTCATATGAGGCATTCATATGGAAATGTTCAACCATTAAAGACTTAACTTCTCTAAGTTCTAAGTATTTAGTTCTCAGTTTTTATCTTGAGATATAAAACACTAAATTGTAGGACCTGGACAAAAAAAGAATTGATAAAAACAAAAATAAAAAGGGAAAAAGTAAGGTATAAAAAGGAACCAAAGTAAGAAAGCGAATGAAAGAAAAAGGGAAAGTCAAGAGGAACTATGGGGTGAAAGGGAAAAAAAGGAGAAATGACAAATAAAAGAATAAAAGAATGAGAGGACAACACAATAAGAAAGAGAGAAGCAAAGAGAAAATGAGAAACAAATGGTTCATTTGTCATCTGAGCTCAAACGTTTCAACTTCAAAACTTCAGATGGATGCTACTCACATCAACAGTGTCTATCTCTCACTTTGATGGTTTGTAGCATTTCTTAATTGTGAATGCAGCCTTCAGTCAGTTGCTCAGGTACTACTGTGTTTATAAGATGATATGTTTCAAATACCTGTAGAACGATATTAAGGTGTTTTTTCTTGTATCAGATTTGAGGATGAGTTAAGCGATTTATTAGCGCGTTCAAAAGCCTTGAGATCAGGTCAAGGACACAGATTGCTGCTTCCCCCTTTTTCTATCCATTGCTGAAATCTGACATTTTGTTTGATTTGTGAATGTTTGTTTTGTTTACACTGAGACTTTTGTTATCATGGTGACAATTCTGTCAAGGAAATGGAGGAAGTAAAAGCAACATCGGAAAGAAAAAAAAAAGATTGGCAGCACATATCAGGAATCGGTTAGACTATTGTCAAAATACTTGTTATCAACCCTAAATTAATTTTCATTGGTTGTTCCCTAATTTTATTACTGCGTATGTGTGCAAAATACTGCACTGAACAGTGTTTTTGTCTTTGTTATATATATATATATATATCGTAACAGCATTCACCTCGGAGATTAGGTCACTCCAACTTGTAAATTTGTGTTACAGAATAAAGACTCTTACGTACAGATTCATACTTTAGACTTCAGATGACATATGAAACACACCATCTATGCTTTCTTCCTTTATGCATGCAAGAAAAATTATTCTTCCAGGCTGTGATCTGCTCCACATATTCTACCTTTTTCCTCTCCATCCTCTCTTGGTGGTTCTGCTGCATTATGCGGTCTCTTTCCTGACGGACTCTCTCTGCCTCCTCCAGGGCCTTGGCCTCAGCCTCCTCTCGTTCCTTCTGGAGCTCGACCTGCCTTAGTGCTTCTTCTTCTTCCATTCTTTTTCTTTCTTCCTCTGCTAGACGAGCTTCTTCTTCTTCTTTTATTTTCCTTTCTTCGGCCACCCTTTTCTCTTCCTCTAGGCGTTGAAGTCGAGCCTCTTCAGCTAATCGCTGCTCCTCTTCCTTTCTCTGCCTAGATAAGTGTTTGATTCACATAAAAATATCTTTAAATATCGTGTAAAGTAACAATCTTTCATAGTATAGAAGAATATAGACATTTGTACATATTGCACTAAAAATGAATAGTAATGGATAACTTTGCAGTTTAAAACTCACCTCTCCTCTTCCTCCCTCTGTATCCTAAGCTGCTCCTCTCGCTCCTTCTGCTCTCTCATGAGTCTTCGATTTTCGGCCAAGATCTTGGCCGCCTCAGCAGCTGAGTTAGTGCTGGTTGTCTTTGAGTCTAACAGGAAGAAAAGTCAACCCAGATGAGAAGTTTGGCACTTTATATCAATAGGATGCAGACCTAAAGGGATGGTGAACTTATTTTACCTGACAACTAAACGAGTGAACAGGCCTGATAGAGATCTATAGGTTTTACATGATTACATCAAGAGAATGTATTTAAACTCATGTCAGGAATCAGAGTAAGGGAACATTATGGTCAAATAAACTATATTTTTACATGGATACTGCCATGAAGTGCACTGCAAGAACAATCAAAGTTCTTTTCATACATTTTATCAACAAACCTTAACCTAAATTTGAAAGGTTTCATTAGAAAAAGCAACACTAAGTAGCAAGTAATTTTGGCTTAAAGGGAAAGTGCATTGTATTTATCCTCCTTGACTTTTCTCCCTCAATAAATCCCATAGAATCAACTGCCTTCTAGGTTACATAGAGGAGTGGAAGAAGTAATTATTGAAAGAAAACCATACAAAGAAACTCCTGACTAGTAGTGTAGAGCCTAAGGTGATATAGTTTGTAAATAAAATCTAAGATTTTTGTTTTCCCAATTAACCATTTTGTTCTCCCTTTCATTTCATGAAAACGAATAGCATAGGACAGAAATTACTTTTAAAAACCAGCTTTCATTTCAATCATCCCCTCTGGCAGTTTTCCTGAAGTTCCACAGAATTTAAGCTGTATAGCATTTTCTTGTACAAGCAGATTCTGTTACTGTAAGTAACAAAGATATAACACCATGTAATATAGGAATTAAAGTGGATAAGAACAGACAATTACAGCTGATTTAAATTTGCCTTAATCACATTTTTTTCCATATACAGCATACCAAAGAAAATATTCTCAACAGCACAGATTTTTAGTAACTTCATCTTAATTTTCCTAATACTCGAACAGTCCAGCTATAGTCTCACATATTTACTCTTTGTTCATTAAAATGCATCCTAAAATAAAATAAAAAAAATTAACACTCGTCTTGCAGTACACCATTCTATCCATAAGGTGGCAGAAGTAGCGACAAACACAAAGCTTACAATGGATGTAACTTCAGCTAGGACATAATGGTCTCCTTCTCTAAGGGGATTTAATGCTCACAAAGCTACTGCCACGTCAATATGCAACAAACACAATGTTTTGTTTGGTTTGTGTTTGTTCTTTTTACTTATGGCCTGTTTATAACAACAGATAATTCATGGATATCAGAGATTTAGAAAGTTTTCTCAACCTATGTAATAATAATAATAAAGAAATCTAATAAAGCAATGCCATATTTTGCTGTACTTCTGTTGACAGAGAGTCAATGTAGTGTCAACTGGGCTGTACATGGATAATAAGTCGAGGAGGAGGAGCTTAATATTTTACTTGCAAAGGACTAAAGGAAACCAGTCATTTGGATGTAAATGATCAGAACAAGATCCGCCACAACATATCAGAACAAATGTTTGTCCAGTCTGACAAAATAGACCTCCGTTTGGACCCACATCACTAAACTAAAAGTTGCTGTGAAAATTAGCATTTTAAAGGGCATGGCTACAACTTATTCATCAAAACAAACAATTAAAAAGACAAATCCACAGAACATCTCTGTGGTATGGAATAAAAGCGTTAACTTTATTGAGATAAAAAAATAAAATAGATGATTGTTTTATGACTTCTGACAGGTCCTAAATCTGTAAACATTTATTTTTGATTACAATTCTAAGGTCAATGCAAAAGGATTATGTACCAATAGTCACGGACGGATCTTAAGTGTCACCAGATCCTAGTAGCTCAATGATATCACTGAGAAATTGCTTCCCAGCATTAGATTTTTGAGATTCAAGCAAACCAAAAAAAGCACACCAAGGGTTAACATCAGTCCAGATTTTGAGCATTGGTGTAGACTTAAAATCTGTCCAACGAGACATATTTAAGCCATGTACACGGTATATATTACTTGGAATGGAGCAGGTGGAGCATGATTTCAAATGCATGACTATGATATCCAGGACAGTGAAAAAAATCAATCAAAAACATCTTTAAAAAAACACTTTAATAGCAGGCAGTTGTAGAAATGTTAGTGAATATAAGAGCTTGTTCTGCACATAATAAAGTGTATAAATAGAATGTTCCTCTGTTGCAGCTGCAATCTTGAGATGTTGCTGGTTTGTTTTAGAGTGGAGCATATTGCGCCTTATCAAACTGACTTGCGCCCGGTGTAAGTGATAACATTTCAGATGCAACCCAGATAATAACCTAGATACTTGAGTATTAGAGCGGGTAAATCACTATTAATGCCAGCTGACTGAGAAAGTAAGGCTGCGTTACATAATAATAGTTTATGCTGTTCAGGCCTTATTACAGCATCATCCAACCTTGCTTTAAGAACTTTTTCATATCAAAAGATCTAATAATTTGGAATGCAGTTAAACTCAGTATATAGTTGTACCTGAATTAGACTATATGATTGGATTGTATGAAAATAATCTGGACAATAGACTTGGACAACTTTTATTGTCGTTTTGTGTACACAGAGTGTATACAAAACAAAATTTCCTAAACTAAACTGGATTCTATATAATGAAGCATGATTTGAACCCAGTTTGTTTTGTGTAAACTGCCTTGAGTTTCAATTTAGTGTGAAATGGTACAAAATAAATAGACTAATGTGAATAGTTCATAGCTCACCATCTTTGTCTTTGGTCTTGCTGTTATCAGAAGCCTGTGTGACCACAGGCTGTACAGGACCCAGATCCTTTGACTTAGAATCCCGCTTCCGCAAAGTCGGTGGTCCAGCTGGAGTGAGTGCTGGTTTCTGGATGGGTGGGGGCTTGGTTGATGCAGGTTGGGGAGACGGGGGTCTCTGTTTTGTAGCAGCTGGTGAAGGTGGACGCATCTTGGGAGCTTGCCTGTCACAGTAAAATTGAGGGGTTAAATTATTTATTCATAATAAAAACAAAAGGCCTCTGTAGGGTCTTACTTGGCTGCTGGGGAGGGGGTTCTTTTTGGATTTGGACTGGGTGCTGGGGATGGTGAACGGTGGCGTCCTATGGGGGTTGACGGTGAAGCAGGACGCTGCCCCCCAGGGGAGGTTAATCGTTTCTCTTTCTGTGGATTAAGGGAAAAAAGGGATAGAATTAACTGAAATCTATCATAAAATATAAAGTAATGATTTTAAAAACACTGCAACAATGACAGTTATGCTAATTAGTACTTATTGATACTCAACTACCCAGTTATCAGACATAGCGTTCAGGGTCACAGTAGAAAAGTCAGTTTTTTCCAAATCTAGGGGCCCCAAAAAGGGGAAGATTCCCCAAGTCAAAAACCACATATTTTTAAATGTTCCAAGTGCTTTAGTAAACGTAACGTAACGTAAACATAACAACAGCCAGCAAGATCGTCGGTAGGACTCCAAGAGGCAAAGATAAATCTCTTTACACTCAGCCATTTGCTCAGAATGTTTAACCCTGTGCATGTCAGCCTGTTGTTTAAAATAACCTGGTTTATCCTTTAGCTTAAAACTAGATTAACATAGTCTCTAAAGGAGAGTGATTTTTATGTTTATATATCAATGCAAAGCAAAAGAAATCTAATAAAATTCAGATTATGGTTAACTGTATAACATATGAATTTAGTTTCTGAAAATTAAAACGTGTAGCTAAATATATCCTTCAATCATTAGAATATCTCTGTACTCTGTTAGGATCTGAGACATGGAATTGAACAGCTGCAGTGCATATTCTTACTGTATGGATAGTTTTTCATATCAATATGTCTGTTGGCTTATCTTATAAAAATTTAATCAAAAAGATTGTTAATTTTAAGCTGTCATACATGGAGCTTAAAATCTACATTATTTCTCACCAATATGGGCGGATCAGGAGGAGAGAGAATAATGATGTAAAGGAAGTCAAAGGCTCCATGACCAAGGTGGGGCCTGCTTTGCATGGCCTAAACCAGGCAAAAACAATCAGGCCACTGTGGATCCCTTTGTGTCATTAAACAACAATAAATCCATTCACAACTATACAGGAGGATGAGAACATGCAGGACATGCCAGAGAGTCAGGGACCAAAAGCCACCATGTCAGAACAGAGGTAGACTTGTGCCTAGGAGTAGGAAACTAATTATCTGAAGTAAAAGCAAATGCAACATACAAAAGACCAGGAATGTTCAAAGCAAAGGAGAGGATATTTCCCTATGGTTAGCATCCTGCAGAAGTAGTTTGACAGTCAAATGTAAATATGTGCATAAAAATCTGAGTCTCTCATGTCATTTTCTAATCAGGAGAAAGCCATTTAAGTGTTATAGTATGAATTCTGTATCGTTATGTTAAAATGGCCGGGCATGAAATATAAAACCAGCTCTTGTTAAACATTACAAGTGCTGAAACACTGACATATTGATAATTTTCTACCCAGAAAAAGTCCAATAGCAGACGCCCTTTTCAATGAGTCACTCCAGAATTTAAATATGGTTGGGATCAGGTGCGGCATCCATGTAATCCAAACTAGGATACGGTTTTCAGCGATCCAGTAAAACACAACTTTCCAAAAGACACACATTGAATAGGAATTTTTAATATTAATGACTACAATGAATTCAATAAAAGACCGCTCACCATAGATGTATCGAGGGCTTCGCTAGCCGACTTTGACGTTGTCATGCCGCTCTTCTGTCGGTCGATGCTGCGGCTGCGCACGGGTCCGCGCGGTGGGTTCAGGGGGCTGGCAGAGGCTGAACGAGGACACAGGTGATACTCTGGTAAAGGACACAGTCATCGCAGGGCCAGGAGAGCACAACCAATGGGAGGGGTGAGAAGCGGCCGAGTCGGGCAGCAAAGCAGCAACAAAAAGAGCAAAGAATGAAGAGAGTTGAAGGGGAAACAGAGGGAGGTTTGGGGAGAAAAGAAAGAGGATGGAGAGGCAGATGATGGTTGGAGGAAATGAAGGAAGGGTGATTGGTAAGGAAACAAAGCACACAAAGAGCAATCTGTTAGATGTAGCATTTAAGCATGAGGATTTCTACATGTTTCTCTAATGGGGGAATAGTTGGGGGATACAACTAGCGACGAGCAACAATCTAACGTAAGTTCCAAACAAGCACTGCTTTCACCAAAGCCTCTGCACACATTTAAACACAGAGCGCGTCATAACAAAAAGAGCACAAATACTACAAACAATGTCAAAAGACAGACGCCAACACTTAAAACACAGTTCACTACAAAGATTAAAAAAGGGGTAAAAAAAAAAAAAAAAAAAAAAAAAAAGTCATAAAATCTGAAAAACTTTTCATGAGTCAAAAGTCATATGGAGCTTTTTTGTTACAGCTTTAATAATAGAAAACAGATTTAATGGTAAATTTGAGGTAAAAAAACTGATCTAAAATTCAGAATTGGTGTTTCTAGCTTTGACAAATAACTTGGTAAAAGTCAAGGTCTTTAAGATAATATAAATGATTATAGTATTTAAAATTACTTTTTTTTTTTTTAAAGAACAGTGTTGAATGAATTGATATTGACAAATTAGAGATTTTCTTTGTAAACACAAAGATAAAAAAGAGCTGCAGGTTATTTGATTGAAGGGATCATTTCAATAAAAAAAATAAAAAATTAATAAACCCTAAGGGAAATTAAATAAAAGTTAAATTAAAGAGAGCTCTGTTGGTCGGTGTGTTTGAAGACAGAAAACTGCGGGTCCTAGCATTGAAGCTTTTTTTTTTTTTTTTTTTTTTTTTTTTTTTTAAATCAGGTACAAACAAAAAATCTGTCGGATCAATTTGGATGATATACATCTCTCCAATCTACCAGAGAGAGGAACAAGCAGAGCTAGTGCTTCTGAAAAACAAAACTAAAACATATTTATCATTAGTGTAATAATGTCAGCAGTATCTAGATTATAAATTGGTTTTAATAAAGACAAGCCTAGAACAAACACCTATTAAAGTCACTGGCCCCATGCCTACTTGTAAATGGCAGAGGCTTTTAAGAACTATGGTAATCATGTTTACAGCTGGGAGAGAAAATAGCTTTCTCCACCAGCTTGCTGTGTCAGATTGGAGGATTAGCCATCATAATCCTGAGAACTGGAAGACTCTTCCTGTCACAACATGGCTCCAAACTTGCTCTGTAATTCATTGTGACAGCACACTGGGCTGCAGGAGTGACTAACACACCCTGTCATGAGCTAGCACCACTTCTGTGAATGATGTTTCTACTGGGCCTACTATTAGCAGGAATATATTACTGTTAATGGGTCGGATCCTATAACACACAACACCAACACTAGAAAGCTTGCAGTTATCGAGTAAGTTGTTGCTTAGTAACACATCGAGTATAAAAGCAAATATTTGAATTGTATTCCTATCATCCACTGGTACATAAAACACTGGATTTCAGAACCCAAATAACTTCATAATATAATTAAATGTAAATTAAATCAGCAGAAAGGCAGTCACACTACTACAACATGTGTGGAAACACATAGCAGACCTTTTCGGAAGTAACTAGAACCAATAGGTAATCAGCTTAGAGTAAATCTCCCAGCATGGACCATGCCGCTTCTCAAACGCCTGTGACCAAGGCTGCAGCACAACTCAGCTCAACAAACAGCCAATTGTGTCAGAACTGGAACAACATGGGAGCTGGAACAGTGTTCATGTCAATATTGATACCTGAACACCTTCTCTCACATGAGTGTAATGTACTGCAAGTAATTTGTGTGCAAAGGCAGCAAACAGTCGATTGCTAAGACAGATGCTTTGTAGACATTGTTCAGTAATTCTACATCAATAAAAGGGAAGTAAGGCATTAGGATGCACCTAGGGAAACATTACTAAAGGAGACGGCATGTGCTAAGCTTCTCTAATAGGCAGAAGATGGGTGTTGGTATAGCCATCTTTCTTCTGAGTCAGGGTCTCCTGAGTCAGAGTTACCTGAAGCATCTGATCCTTCAGCGGACAGGGCGGCGGCGCTCTTGCTCCTAGCTAGTGAGGCCTGGGTGGGAGTGAGTAGGCGACTAAGGACCCCTTCATCCACAGTACTGGCCGGTGGCTTGCGGGCTACACGGCCGAAAAATCACCCAAAAACAGCAGAGGAAGGAATAGGTGGATGAGAGTTGGGGGGGATGAAGGCAAAAAGAGAAGTCACCAGGTGATTTTACAGGACAGAATCACATTGAGCTCAAAGTTAAGTCTCTGTAGTCATGCATGGGCTGTTTATCATCCGGAAACCTTTTGGCTTTCGCAACATTCAGTGACATGGTGGAGTAAATAAAAGGAAGCCATGGATGAGCACAGAGATAAATCATCTGAAAACAGAGAGTAAATCAGACGAGGTCAAATTAATGGTCCCTTGAGGAGGAAGAAAGAAGGCTGATGAAAAAGAAAAATACGTTAACTGAGTTTGAAGAGGGAAAATGGTTATAACTAAGTGACAGATTGAGTGAATGTGACCATGCAGGGATATTTTGCTTCTGCTGCACATCTTAAGACACGAAGATGTGGAATATATAAGACATCCAAATAAAAAGATAGTATTAAGTCACTTTGATGGATTATTTTATCACAGCAGAAACAAAGAACTGTTGTCTTTATGAAACTGATGAACACAATGCAAGTTTCCCATTAGTTCAGACCATTAGTGATAGATTCTCCCGCCTTTATATCTCCTTCAGATTCATTATTGTTTGATTGCTCTACTCTCCTACCAGTCGTTTCAGGACAATCTCCCGGTTTTGAGGTAAACTCTTCCCATGTTCAGATGAACACTGCTCTGTGGGATAGCCAGCTTAGGATTTCTTACTCTGCTTCAAACTTCTCCAAAACTTAAACAAGACCTTTCTGCTGTTTCCTCTAACATTCTTTATCAAACTACTGAGGCCAAATGACCAAGATTAAATCATGTAGACAGGGACTCAATTCACCAATTAATTGATCTCTGAAGGTAGTTTTCACTAGATCTAATAATATTAAAGGATAAAATGCAACGCAAATTGTAATTTTTTTCCCAACAAATTAAATGGATTAACTTCTATCAAGTGACAGAATTATTTATTATTTGACCAATATTTCCCCAGCAATTTCCCTTTTTTAAAAGCTTTATCGAAGAGGATCTCCATGAAGAATTGTGTTTAATTCAACCTCAAAACTCAGTTTTTACTCTATGACTCAGATAGGTATGAAAAGATAAAAATCAGTGTTTAAAAGAATTTCTGGGTTACAGACGTAACGTTCAGTTTGCATAACAGTTGTGTTAAACAGACAAAAAAAAAAAAAAAAAAAATTAGAACAGTACAAAACAACATCATGGGAGCTTAACTGGCACAAATATGGCTGAAGCAAAAACAAAAAGGCACTTGTGGTAAACAGCAACATGAAGACTGCCAAAAGCCACTGTTGTTACTCCTTAGCTCTCCTGTTTCTGTGGAGGGATGGCACTGACAGACACAGCATTGAAACAATGATGTCATCTTAAAGAGAGAAGACAACCAACACTTTGATACAACAAGGCAAAACACTGTTAGAGCACACACCACAAAACAAAACCTTTTCTGTAGTGATGCTTAGTTATGGAAAAGAAAAATATTAGCAGAGAAAAAACTGAACAGGGTTAGATCTGGTGGGTTAGAAAGGCAGAAAGGTTAAGCATTTTATCAGGATGAAAAACAGTATCATGAAAAATAGTCTCTGCTTTAAGAACAAGTTATAGCACAGAACACAGACCAGACGCTTAAAGGAAAACCAACCATGAGCTCCACAACAATAGACTTATAATATATTTCTGTAAAAGGTTCTGAGTTCAGAGGAAGGAAGCCATCAGAGCTCATAGCTTGTTGTTAAAAAGGAGACCCGAGCAAAGCATGCTGATTTTATATGCTAGCCACCTTGATCATCCGTTGTTCCCCTATCAGGCTTGGCAGGGGTCTGTGCTCTGCCCACACTTACTCGTGTGAGGGAGGAACTTCTCTTCTTCACAGAAAGGCCTACGGACATGAAAGTGGAGTTACAGAAAACCAGACACTGGGAGGGAATCAACAAGTTAAAGCCCAGGAAGGAGTTTGCGAGTCATGTGCATTTCATTTGGCCCTTATGCAAGTCACCAGGGTCAGAGCTTGCAGCAGCTGATGGCCTAGTTTAGGAGATAATGGCTTAACACAGAGACAAGCCTCTTCACCGTCTATGCAAGCTTTTTCTTCTAAAACCAGTTAAGAATAATTATACCTTATGATATGTTTTCATACAAGAAAGAGACATATAGCACACAGTTTTTTCTCAAAGCAAAATGAGAGAAGAGGGGATCATTTGCACCTGTCTGTTCCACCTGAAGCTTTTTGCCATCTTCCTTAGTGGCCTGAGCATCATTGCCTTTGCTTGGCAACCGGTTACAAGACGAACTCCTTAGCCTAACACCTGGGAGACAATAATCAAACACCCACAACAATTGAGAGAGAATGCAATGAAGTGAAAAAAAATCAAATGTGAAAGAGGAAAAAAAAGTGTTGAAGGTACTAAAGACTACAGGAAAAAAAGAGCTGAAAACAGATTTGTTACAGCTCCTATAATTAAGGGAAATACTTCAGAATTAACAGATGTCCAGCAAATGGCCACAGACCACCTTCACATAGAGGGTAGGCCACAAAAATAGAAAGCTTAAGGGGCTGCTGGATTTCTCTTTTCTAGAGCTAAAACAGTCAAAATAGTTCAAAACATAGCAGTAAAATGACACAGAGAGAACACACTACCAGCTGGTAATTAAATATATCAGTCAATTTACTTATACTAAAAAATACTGTGCCAAAAAAAAGACAAGTAAACACAGGCAGCAGTGTCAATGAGGAAACCTGTGTCACTTTTATCCATTTTTTCATGCACATCAGGAAAGGACTGTTTAAAGCATTTGATTAGAAAACAGACTGAGGTCAGAGCTTTTAATACAATTAGTACTGACAAAGGGAGAGGCTTAGCAAAATCTTGTTAGTTACAAAGATTATTGATATCAAAAATAAAATATAGCCCTACATGCAGACTCTCAACTGAGAGAAAGAAAAAACTGTAAATTATAAATAAATTTGGCTTTTCAATAGAGGAGGAGGAGAGAAGAGGAGGGAGGGAAGGACTTACTTTTGTCAGGTGATTTACCGAGGGCGGCAGAGGAGGAGGATAAGCGTTTACTGATGCCAGCCTCGGGAGGTTGTTTCAGGTTAGTGGTGGATGTGGAGCGTTTGTCGGCTAAGAGCAGGGAGGAAGAACAGACATGGGAGGAGGGATTTACACAGGGAGCCAGGCAATAGGGAAGGGATTTTAGGTGCAGAAAAAGGGACTACAAGGTTTTACTATTTACTATTCCTCTAACATTAGAGGGGTATAACCTGCTAAATTATTGTTTCCATATCATTTTATCTTATGAGTTCATTATTAGAAAAACAGCAAATATTTAGCCAATGCGATACAATACAAAACTGGAAGAGACAAGTTTGTGGCTTGCAGACAACAGATGTTGGGTTTAACCAACCATAAGGAGAAAGCATCAACATAGCTATATTGTAGAGACACAATAGATGTTCTTTGTTAAATTTCACATGAAAAGGTTTCAATGATGAGAAGCCTGTGTCACCGGGAAATGCATATCCGTAGGGCTGGGTAATATTAGCTTAAGCAATCACAAGAATCAATGCTCCCATTTGTATCCATTACAGTGGAAAAAAGAATGGGGAACAAATGGCAAATAAACAGCAAGATCCGTGTGTCTGAAAAGGCTCTGAATATCCTGCTGCTGACCCGTTTCTTTCCATTATACTTTGAATTTGTAATTATATATCACTTTGTAAAAAAGCATCTAAAATGTTGTGTATATGTTTATTTTTGGGGTAGTTAAATATTTGATATATCATGGAATATGCAATGAATATCACACTTTTAAATAGCACACCATTAACGTCAATTCTACCTCTACTTCTCACATAGTTTAGTACATTTTTTAGAAATAAAGAATTAAAAGCTCTGTTCAAACCAAAGTAAGATGAGTCACACAACCACATTTCAGTCTAACAGATTAGGAAGAAATGCATTATTAGTTTTGAAGGCACAAACAAACTCTCCCTGTGGTGGATGTAAATTGACTCAAATTGAACATGAAAAACCTTTCAGCAGACCACTTATTTGTGTGGGTACAATAGAAAAAATTACGAAACAATGAAGGGGATAAAAAAACATGACCTGGATTAAAACACCCTTTCTGTTTAGAGGTGCAAAGCATAAAAAAAACAGCAGTAATGTTGGTGAATGTTGCCCTGCTATCTACCTTTGAGCACATAAATAAACATCTAAATAAATTTGAGTTAACCACACTAAATACGCTTCTTTACTGCATTACCAGTATTAGTCTTTAAAGTAGTCTCTAAACGCATTATGAGCTTTATGTGCAGATTTATTGCCCCTAAGCTACCAAAATACAACTAATATAACACGATTGAGTATCATTCCTATAGGTTTTGTCCTCGGAGCCCTTGAATGGGATTTGTTCATGCATAGCGATTCCTGATGAGTCAAATCCATTACCGTATTTTCACGACTATAAGGGGCACATAAACGTCTTTTTTTCCCCTCAAAATGTGCGGTGCGCCCTATGGTGCGGTGCGCCCTATGTGTGTTGCAACTGCGACTTTTGAGACCACCTCATTGAGGAGATGATGAAAGAGTGGCTGAATGTAAGGAGACCAGGTGTTTTTTTCCCACTCATCACCACACCATCGCTGTTAATCTGACTCCATGCGTGCCCATCTCACAGCTGATGTGAAAAACATGGTGAAACAAATTAATGCTGTGCTCGCTGTGAACCGGACGCAGCAGGTGCAGCAGAAGCAGCGAGTTTACATGCAAAGTCAACGGTTGACGAGCGTATAGACGCAGCAAAAGGTCCCGCAGCGCGTTGGCGTGCGCTCCCGACTCGCTCAAAACGCGCTGCGGGACCTTTTTCTGCGTCTATACGCTGCTCGAGATGGAAAAAATTGAAGTTTTGCTGCTGGAAGCGCCGCTTCAACGAATCAGAGAAGCTGATCTGGGAGCTGACAGCGAGACAGACACAGCGCTCTGATGACATATGATTTTAAAGCAAATGAAAGGGCTGGATGGACGAGGAGATGATGAAAGCGTGGCTGAGGGAGGTGTAGGCTATGTGAGGAGACCAGGTGGTTTTTTTCCACGCATCACCATCGCTTTTAATATGTGACTCCATGCTTGCCCATCTCACAGCTGATGTGAAAAACATGGTGATAAAAAATAAACGCTGTGCTCGCCGTTATCTCGGGGGTCTGACAAAGGAACTTCCATCGCTCGACATCGGTGTGAAGCGGCCGTTCAAAGTAAGGCTGCGAGCGGCGTGGGAGCGATGGATGACAGACTGAGACCACAGTTTCAGGATAAGTGGAAGGCAGCGCCGGGCAAGTTATGCCACCGTTAGCGGATGGATTGTAGATGCTTGGACTAACGTGTCTGCTGGCTCTGTTGTTCAAGCTTTCGCAAAAGCCGGCATTATTTCTGAGGAGCTGCGCTGCACGGAAAGTGACTCTGACAGCGCAGAAGGGGAAACTGGCATGTCTGATTTAGCGCAGCTGTTTAATTCAGAAACAGAGGATGATGACTTTGATGGGTTTGATTAATACTTTGTAATAAATACATGAATAAAGCACAATCATACTCAGTTTTGCTCCCGCTCTATTTTTCTACCTGAAAACTTAATTCAACAGCAGCCTCTGGGCCGGGTCTCCTCCTCTTCACCGCGGTGGCTGGCAGGTGTTTTTTTCATCTAAATAATCTAAATCTTGCAGCTATATTTGCTGTGGGAATAAAGTAGTTTTAATTAGGGCTGCAACAACGAATCGATAAAATCGATAAAAATCGACTTTTAAAAGCGTTGGCAACGAATTTAATCATCGATTAGTTGTGTCGCGCGATTAATGCGTCATCCGCCGCCGCCGTCATCCGGGGGAAGAAAAAAATATGGCGGAGCGAGTCAGCGCCGCAGTTGCAGTGTTGCCAACTCAGCGACTCTTCAGACCCCCCCAGCGACTATTTTTCAAAAAAGCAACTAGCGACAAAACTGGCAACTTTTTACGGTGTCACTGGCGGCTTTTGCCTGCCGTGGGGCGCCTCCCCCATCCCAACGCCTTTCTCCCTCTCCCACAGGAATCCCTCTCAGCGCGGCAGTCAGAGTCAGAGCCGCAGGATTTTAGTGAGGAGTTTACCCTCAGCGTCCAGACTGCAAATGAAGCGCGCATGCGCCGGGGTTGACGGCGCAAATTGATCACAATAATTAAAATAGCCTGTGCTTTGTAAAGTGAAAAAAGTCGTAACATGCAACTTTTGTAAAAACAAATGAACATGGCACAGAAGCACCACTGTTATGACGCAGCACCTGAAAAGAAAACACGTTGGAGCCTTTGATGGCAGTGAAGAGAGCTGATCAGCAGGATGAGTAACCATGTTTGTTTGGTTTTAAAGTGGGGAAACGTAACGTTAGTTTCTCAGGTAGCTCATCTGATGCTTTCCTTACCTTGTTAGTAGGTTACAGACAGTGATAAGGTTGGCTACTTATTTTACTTTTAATTTCATTTAAATTTGTTTAAGCAGCGTTTATATTTTCTTTATAAATAAATTAACTTGCAAATTATGAGGGCAAGGCTTTTAAAGTTTAAATCTTCTGGCAAAGATAAAGAAAAGAAGATCCTGCAATTTATGGAAGTAAAGCAGAATAAAATCCAGCAAGATCAGTAATATGTCAATTAATTATCTGCCACATTCCCATGTAAATATCTGTCTTTGGAGGATGTGTTTTTTAGCACCCCTAATTCTCTCATTTTTATTCCAAATACAATTTATAATTTGAATCACAGGGCTATTTTTATCTCTATGGTTCAGTATTTTCTCAAGCAGCAACTTTAACTGCTATACTTTCCTGTCTTAAAAGGCAGAACTCTTCTAGTCTAAAAAAACTCATTTGTTGAAATGGGGGGACCTATTGTTTGAACCCCTTAGGGGCTTTAAAAAACAAAAATGCCTGTCTCTTTTTGCGCTTTATGAAACAAAGTACCCTATATTTTGTGGATGTACAGCTACATTTCTCATGTAAATTTGCGTAGTTTTTACACAAACATTTATTTGTCATATTGCACCAGTACAGTTAATGAGCAACCTGTACTTGTGTGCTTGTTTGTTCTGTCTAAAATGTTTATTTTGGAATAAAGAGGTTAATATAAAAAATGTTTTTGTCCGATTCATCGATTAATCGAAAAAATAATCGGCCGATTCATCGATTTTTAAAATAATCGTTAGTTGCAGCCCTAGTTTTAATATGTTTTTAAGTGAGAAAGTCCACCTGAAAACTTCATAATTGCAGTCAGTTCATCCAGATTATCTATTTCTGTCGGAGGCGCTCAGACCCCCACATACCAGCGGTGCACCGACAGTAGAAATCCTTTCATCAGCAGCCTCTAGGCTGGGCAGCCTCCAGGTTCACCGGCGGCTGCTGGCAGGTGTTTTTCATCTAAATAATTTTAGCTGCAGGCACCAGGATACCGGTAATAAAAGCGAACAAATTCCGTCGGCAGGTTTCAGGATTTTAAGTTAATTTAGGAGTGATCACAGCGCTGTGTCATCTGCGATGTGTCTGTCTCACGGCCAGCACCCAGGTTTGATTAATACTTTGTAATAAATACATGAATAAAGCACAGTCATACTCAGTTTTGCCCCCGCTGTATTTTTAAATACGCAGTTGAGGTATTTAAAGGTAGAAGAGGACATGTACCGGTATATAAAAAACGCGCCCTATAGTCCGGTGCGCCTTATGTGTGTGTTAAATACAGAAATGGGACACATAACTGAGAGTGCGCCTTTTAGTACGGTGCGCCTTATGGTCGTGAAAATACGGTATAAGTCCCAGCCATATCTTCAAATGCTGCAGAAGCTTGCTGCTGCTTTACCTATCAAACCGTTTTCTTCAACTCTACTTTCTATGAATATACAGCACCCTAAACAACCAGCTTCTTTATCAAACCCTTTTTCTAGCTCATTCTCCTTCTAGAGGATGTCAACTACTGTCCTCTGGACATGCATCACCTCAGCAGTTCTCCCCATGATGTGTGTCCAATTGATCAAGGCTGAGAAGTCATTAACAAGCTAAAACTTTGCAGCTGCTTTGAGTTATTAAGCCGATTTATCAATATTTACGAATTCACATTATTCAGATTTTCAGTAAAAAAATATAGGCTTTTTATTATCTGTAAGCCATAATCATTACCAATATCAGAAAAGTAAGACATGAAACCATTTGTAATCATGCTATATAAGAATTTTTTTTTTACTGAAATTACCGAAAAAAGTATAGACATTTTCCCACAGTGTTTTAAGATATAACTATGGTAGACACTCTGAATCAGCGGTGCCTTTTGGAGTCCAAGCAATTCCTTCCAAAACTATTTAAAGAGTACAGTTCTACTTCTGTAATACATAACTACCTGCTGTTTCTTTTATTCACCAGGGACTCACTATAATATGATTTTGATTAAGGCCTTAAAGCGTTAGCAGTGCAGGTTGACTAATTCATAATGTTTAGCATTGAATCTGAAGAGGGTGGATATGCTAATTTCCCATTTTGATACTTCATATGATATTAGGTCCTTACCATTCATGTTTCTTTATGCAATGAATGAGGAAAATAGTAATTTCTCTTTTAAATGCAGCTTTTTTTCTACTGCAGCATTACTCTAGCAGCTAAACCACGCCAACGTCAGGCCGACAGCCTAGATAGAGATGCCATTTTCTGAATAAAAGTTACAGAAACAGAAATAACTCCATTATTCTTCACAAATATACTCAACAGTGAGGGTGAGAGAGCCACATGTGAAGCTAATAAGACTTATGAAGCCATCAGGAAAATATACCAGAGGAAAAAAAAAATGTTAGTGAAAAGGTGCCAGTTAGAATGCATGGAAGGAATAGATGGGACATGTGCTTGCTGAAAGAACAGACGGCAACCAAGCCATTTGCGATGCCACTAAAAGTCCATGCTGTGCAAAGGTAAACAAATTGACAAACAAAACCTTGTCCACTCCTTGGTGGCTTTTCTGGCGAGGGAGAGGAGACAACTATAGCTACTGGAGAAGAGATGGTGGTGTCAGAATCTCCTGTGGGAAAACAAAACTCTCAGACAGGAGCAAATCATGAGGAAGGGACACATCCTTCAAATGATAAACAGAATGGCATATTGTACATGACACCTATACAAAGTGATAGAAGAGGATATTGATGGACTTTGTAAATGTCTTTGTTAATATGGTTAATTCATACTAATACTGGTTAACAAAAAAGGTGCTTTAAGTTTATTAAATGTACTAAAGAAATAGAGCTTCAACATCCAAACTAGCCATACCAGTTTAATATTTTCTCATTATAACCAAAACAATCAACGCATATCTTGGGAAATGTTTGTGATAGATCATCAAAAAGCATCACATAACTGACCTATGAACTGTCCACTCACTAGCTTTCTCTGAAAAACGTCTATGGCGCTCATACAACAGCTTCTTTCATACTGAGGTTAAATTAGACACAGGTTCACCATTTAGAAATAACTATGGTATGAGGGCAATGTGGCTGCACCGGATTGAATTTAGAGGTATCAGAGTAGAGGGAGTGGTATATAGATCTTATCAAACTTTGAAGAGATTCATATATCTTCCTTTCACTTTCCTTTTATGCTTATGCTTCTTTCAATAAATCCCACCGAAATACACTGAAGTTGGTTAGTTATAAAACCAGAATTTGGAATATGTTCAACAGAGAATAGACTTTTCAAGGCACCAAATCACATAGTGAAAAAAAAACACTTCCATTTTGACTGTGCAACATTCCTAAAGGATGTGCTAACTACTAACTTCTGTTGAAATGTCAACCTACTTGATGACCTCATGTGTTGTTCTTAAGAGTTTATCATGCCTTAAAAAAACAACAACTGAAAACTCGATCCTTTACCTGCTCTTCCATCTTGGTCTGCCGACAGTCCTCCCCAAGACCACCTCTTCTGTCTCTGCTCAACACGCTGGCTGCGTTCTAGGGTTCGCCTCATGACTGCCTCGTAGTGCTCCTGAAGAATGACAAGACATCAGGGTTTCCACTTCATGTAATTGATTGTGGCGCACCGCCGAAGCTTAAGAAAAGTTGCCACACCTTCAAACTGAAGTTGATTTATTTATTTATTTCAAATATATGTTAATACGACATAATGAATAGGAGCTATATATACATAGCCTACATTTGCAGATGTACCCTAACCAGAATCAGGTTTGTAAATTAATTGAGATATAATGAAACCTAAGAAGTTTTTTTTTTTTTTGAAAAGAAAAAAACAAAATAAAAACTCTAGCTACTTCCTGTCTACAAGGCTGGCTTCTGTCCATAGTGATACTAAGAGGAAAAATATAGATTACAATCCGACATGGTACCAACTTAGCAATTTGGATGCTATATTTAGCAACTTTTCAGACTTCTCTAGAAAGCGACAAATCTACCATCTTTTTGGAGATTGTGGTTACAATGTGAAAACACAGATCACTGAGTTGATCATCCTCAGCGAGCAGCTGGGACTGCTGTGAGCCCCTCAATCATCCTAAGCCCTGAGAGGCAGTCAGCCTCAGCAGGAAACCATCCCTGCAGTCAGGGAGAAGAGAGGCTCACCTCTGTTAAGAGAGTCACACATTTGTGAAGCTTTCACTGTTTTCGTCCTACATTAAGGCAGAAGGTAAATATACATTTTAGCGTAATGTTTTTTTTCCTTACTCTTTGAAAGTATTGCATTAAAATAGAACCCTCCCTACATTTAATTCATACACAGCCGAATCCACTGTGTGTTGCTCTGCTTACCGTCTTTAAGTCAAATTTGGTAACATCGGATTGATCTATTTAGTTTAAGTGCAGGTAATCTATTACTGACTACTTGAAATTGTTACATAAAGTTCACATTTTATTTTCAAATCACTTTGCCTCGCCAAAAGGGACCTTCCTCTCGGCTATGCGCATCAAAGCATGGATCATTGCATTGGAGTAGAGGGAGAAAAGGAAAAAGAAAGATACCTAAAGGTTATGTTGAATGAATTTTTAGGTTGTGAAAACAACCTTAACATTGACCTATGCTGCATTCAAGTGATGATAACACAGTTAATTAATATAGATATTATTGCATAATGTTATATATATGTTTTGAACTGCAAGACAAAGCTTAATTTTGGGTAACTTTTACAATGACAATCTTTACTGATTGCATTTTTAGATGAGTCTAATAAAGATAAAATAAGAGCTAAAGGATTTAAACAAAAAATCAAAATTACAATCATTTTCAACCAATTGTACATTTTATTTCAATTTTCCTTTGCACTAAATATAAATATGTAAATATGTTACTCCAGGGTTTCAGCTTTTCCATGACTGTACTGTACCCTCTGCTAGGAAAGTGCTTACTTCTACTTGCATGCATAGGATCTGCATGCTTGCTGGAAGTTTTTCTTTCCTTTCTTTTGGCAGCAAAGCCAATGTAAACATACGACCGCCACCTCAACAAATTGTCTCTTAGTCTTGATAAATGGTACGTGACCAGTGCTTCTGCTAATTGCTAACGCAATTCATCTCCAGCCCTGGTTAAAATTATGCTGTTATACTCATGGCACCGGCGTTGTGCTTGTCATTGTTAGGCCTGCAGCAATAAAACTTTTTTCTGGATTATAATTGTCCCAGAAGTTGTTAATATTCTAATTCTGTTTGAATACAAAAAGCTCTCACATAGCAGCTTTCAATTCCAATTCTGTTTTTCAAAAGAGGCAAATGTTTTTTTTCTCTGGCTTGCTGAGCCTCAGTCACAAGGCTCTCATGCTACACTCGCTATGCTAAGGAAATGATAAGGGTGAATGGAGACTAATAAAGCAGGGTGAAACCTTTAGCCATCCAGACTCTACAGTAGGAAGAGAGGGAGACACAAGATAAACGAGTGTGTAAACATAAATTACTGAGGTCATTCAAATTTGTGATGAACTGATTTATTGTTTATTGTGAAAAGTCTAGTCATCATCTTCTGACTGGCTTCTAGATAGAAGTAGTAGGATTCAAATATTAAGATGTCCTTCACTGGCACTATCAATCCACTATATGTAGAGAAAATACTCCAAGATCTTATAGTTTTAAAATGACTTTATAAGAAAATCTATATAATAAAACAATCCTTGACATTTTACCTTTTCCTCTTCCAGCTTCTGCTTCCTCTTCTCCTCCACTGCCAATCGTTTCTGCTCCTCCTTTCTTCGCTGCTCCTCAACCTTTTTCTGCCGTTCCTCCATCTGCCGTTCTACTTGCAGCTTAGCTTTGCGCTCACGCTCCATGATCTGGGACTCCCGTAATGCTGACAACATAAGGATTGTCAAAGTGTGTCCCTGAATATGAGAGACTATCTATTGTCCTCTATGTATGTGTGTGGTATAATCTCTATACAGAAACACCAGAAGGCATATTGGGCTTGTTTTTGTCTTAAAGCTCGAACTAACAGCAAAACACCATCTAGAGTGTATAACATAATGAACAAAAGAAAAGTTTTACCTAGGTGTTAAAAAAAAAAAAAAAAAGTATTTTAAATGTAACTTCCTACAAACCAATGCCGTTGCTTACCTTGCTGTCTTTCAGCCTCTTCCCGCCTCTCTTTTGCCACTCGCAGCCGGTCGTCTACTCTAAGTGCTGCACCGTCAATTACTAAAAACATGCAGGTATGAATCGGGTTTAAAATCTAAAAGCATGCGCAGAAACTCGTACAACTTGCAGGTGGATTATGCAGAAGCAGAGTGTATGGAAGGCTTTGTATCATGCTAGCAGATGTGTCCATGTGACTGTCATTAATGAGCTTTGGCAACTGTTACAGTAATAAGATGATGACTGACCTCCTTTAAGCCACACCAGGAGGATGGCGGAGGTGGATCGTGTTTCAATGGTTAACAATATGAAAGGTAAAGCTGTAAGAGCCTTGAGCATCTGTGTCAATGTGTATGGTGACGTATACCTGGCTTACAGCCCTGAGGTTTAGATGGTGAGTTGGTTGCAGGTCCCGGACTGTTCCCTGCTAAGCTACGTCGCTCCTCAGCTTGTGCCTGTGCAGCCGCAGCTGTAAGGAGACAAACACATGCATGTTCTATAAAAATCAACTACATATAAACCATAATAATCGACTTTAGTTCCATGGTATTCATTCACCCATCCAAATCATGAAAATTGGGCAAATCGATCAATTCCATGACTGCAGGCGTGTCACATAAAAAACCTAGGCATGGACACCATTTCTATTAGCATTTGTGAAAGAAGACGTTACTCTCTAGAGCTAAGGGAATTCAATGTGGTACTATAATAGGATGCCACCTCTGCAACACTTGTAAATATCCCACTGTAAAAGCTCGGTGGTAAAATAATCAAGGGGAAGCGACTAAGCCACATAAATAAAGTGCAAAGGCGGCGGATGTTAATGAGCATGTTGCCCACTTTCTTCTAAGTCAATCACTACAGACCTCAAAACATCATGCGGCCTTCAGATTTGCTCAAGAACAGAGCAGGAGGGAGTTCACGGCCGAGCAGCTGTATGCGAGATAGACATGTAAACAATAACTGACTTACGATTCATTAATGGGTTATTTATCCACAATTTATAAGTATTTTTTCTACTTTGGGAAGAGTGATTAATCAATTTTAATTATTCATATTTTCTGTTAAGATTACTTTTTAAGAAAAGAAAAAAGTTTTTTTGCCCCAATGCATTCCTTTGGCTTCCATAGCAAAAACTGACATTAGTTTATTTTTTTTGAGGTCTGCTAATAACTGATAAACAAGCTCAATGTTTAGTTCTACTAGGTGCAAACATTTGGTATGTTTACATTACCAAGTGTGAAACAATCATGAATTCTGTGGCCCTTTAAATTAAGATCAACTCCTAGAGGAGATGATTGAAATGAAAGAACATTTTGAAGAAGAAAAAAAATGAATAATCAAATTTGATATGAAAAAAAAAAATCAGATTAGATTTTCAAGCTATTTTAGGTATATGTCTCTGTATGTTAAGAAGAGGCTTGCTGGTATTTGAAGCAATGCTGGAGTGGAGGCATAAAAGGCAGAAAAAGATGAATCCATCAAGAGTTCAGTCGCAAATTATTTACAGTGTTTAATGCGAGAAGAATGCAGAATGCAATTTATGTGGTCCTTCTTATAAACATCAGCACTCAGTCGTTTAAAGGCACTGCTAGCAGCATAAAGTGAGAGCTACATCACAATTACAGCCCACACCACTGAAAAACCAGTGCGACATATCTTCTTTTAATGATAGCTTTTCACATATTCTATTTATCTTTTTATATTCAGTAACCCAGGCTCCTGTTTTAGTATATCTTCTTAATATGTCTAATCTAATAATGTACAAGAAAAGTTTAGTTTTTTTATTCAGAGTATTTAATAAATTGTTGAAATATAATGATGTACAATGCACTTTTTTTTTGATTCAGCATATTCTAATAGATATGTATGCACTAATGATTAAGAGAAAATTGTTTTGTTTTTTTAATGGCCCCTTATCAATCAGTTGATGGATAAAATCCATACAATTTAGATTAATTAAGTGAAAACATGCATTCCAAAACAAGCATCACTATGCAAAGTTTGGATGCAGCATCCTCTGGACTCTAGAGCAGTGGCGGGGATTTTCCTGCAGCAACAATTGGTTCTTCTTCATCTGGCCATCTGATGGATTAGTTTGGGTTTAACAGTTGCCAGAAGAACAGCAAATTCTCTGACTATAGAGGAAGGGATAACATTTGGTGAAAGGGGAATTGTGTTTTCCCAGAAGCTTGGCTTGGTCTCTTAGCTCATATGAAAAGAAGTGAATGCTTGGACATAGCCAAGCACTGAGCTATATGGGCGAAATATAATATCTCGATATAACTCAGTGGCTATATAGGATATTCATCAAGATGCTTTCTTTACTGCAGCAATTACAAAAAGGCCCATCAAGTCAGAGCTTCGTCTTAGATGCCAAACACGCTCATAAATGAACAAACAGCAGTAGATAAACATGGAAAATGGCTGAAACATAACCCAAATTATGATTATAAAACGACTACATTAATAGAAATTAAAACTAATCTCTTTTGAAAAACAAATAAAATAAAATTACAGTATTTTTGAATTTCCGGCCCTACTGCAACATACCAAGTGATTTTAGTTAATTCTATGCCACTGACATTATGTGAATCCTAGATCAAAAGAACTCCAGAATATTTCAACCAAACAGATCCAGTAAATATGGGACACATTTCTATTGCTTCACTAAAACCCAAAGGCCACAAGGCAAGGAAATGGAGAGAATGCGATTATTTTTTCATGAGGCCTGGAATCAATCAAGAGCTCCTTTTCCTCTCGTTGACGTCTATTCAGCACTATGGAACTGCTGACGAAGAGCAAAATGACTAGCACTTCTATGGTACTCACAGTATTGACTGACACTTTAAAACCGATCCAGAAAGGTTTCACTCACTCCAAAACCAATATAAAAGGTCAAAGGTAACCTTTATCATCCCAGAGGAGTAATTTGTTGGCCAGACAGCAGTCACATAAACACAAGCATAAGGGCAACGTTAAAATAAAAAATCTAATTCATTCAACTGAAAGCAGCTAAAAAATATGTGTTTTTTTTATTTTTTATTATTGGTGTGCTCTTTCTACTGTGTGGCATCCTGTACCTCCTTCCTGTAGGTAGAAGGGAGTTATCTCCCCTTAAAGGATGGCCACAGCGGGATGGTTTTAACCTCTGTTATAGATCTGGTGTTGTAAAGTGACAGAGTTCATTTAGAGATATACAGTCTTTTCTATTACTGCAGAGGTTGAAAATACCCTGCAGATTTCTTGTTTTTAAGTGAAAGTGACTCTTGCCAGCAAAGAAAATTTAATAAAACAAACACATTAAACAAAACTGATATGAAAAAACTTTTGAGAAAAGTGCCCATGCTTGTGTGACCTTCTGGCCAATGACTCAACCTGTGGCTCAGATGTAATTATTTTTATCAATAACAATGTCAAGGTAATTATTCTGTTGCACCAGTTCAACAGTTTGATTAGAGATAGTTTCTAAAGAGATCGATGTAGTCCTTCTCCAGATTCTTGGCACATTTCTTTTGTCTCTATACCAATTTTTAGAAACAAAGCTTTGCATCATTTCAAGACCGCACTTAGAAATAGGCCATTTTTAGACTTACTGCTAAAGAGTAAAACAATAACAGAGCTGTCTGCAAATTTTATGTGGCTATAAATTGAGATGAGACCCTGGCAATCACTTGTAAATAAAACAAATAGAAGAAGCAAATCAACCATATCAAAATCTTCTTTGTTCTTTGTGTACTGAAATACGTGGATGTATGTACAGGGTTTACACCGGACTGAGCAACTCTAATTTAACACTTTTTAACGCTATTTTAATGCTCTTAGAAATAATTTTAATGCAACAACTACCCATGACTCTCATATATACACAGCAAATTCCTTCATCTTTACTGTCGGCAGGCTGCAATTCCTCGATTTCCAGCCACTTTTGTTGAAATTAGCATTTCACCCATTCAACAGCTTTTTCTCCGCCTTGAGCTTCTTTTCTGAACATATGGCTTGATAATCAGCTGGAAGCAGTTCCACGCAAATATGCAAATATATCGAGATATAATATATTGCAATATATTTGCATATTTGCAAATATATATATCGTTTAATAAATTGTTTTTATAACATTTTTTTTCTAAATAAAGCATTTTAAATGCCAAAATAATCACATTTAATCAATTTTAATGCCAATTCAGGCCTTTATTTAAAAAATAATTATTTAATAAGTTTTAATTATTTTTGATGATCCGCGGAAACCCTGATGTACTGTAGGGTTAGGCAACAATTCAATATCAATATACTGTATACTGATATATAATTTAACTTACAATTACTTCAATATGTAGTCTATAATCACAGCCTTTTTCCCTGAGTGACATTCCTTGTTTGATGTAGTTTTATACTTTTTAAAGAAAATATATTTTTTAAATGTTACATAGAAGGAGTTTTCTAAACATGGCACAATTGTCACAAGTTTGTATTGGCACCTTTTGTTTACATTCTTGCCTTGTCTTTCTGAGAATATGTTTGTACTAACATTGGAATTATATCGTAATTTTTAAAATGAGGAAATATATTGTGATATACGTTTTGGTCATATCTTTTAAACCTAACTGAATGCAGTTATTAGTTGAACAAAACTCCATAAACAGCAGTCTGACAATGAATTAAAAAACATGAATAAAAGTGTCACTAATGCATCTTCTACACCTGCGATATATTTAAAAAAAAACAAAACAAAAAAAAAAGTAAAAATTTAACCTGTGCCAGATCTAAAACCTACTTAAAATGTGCGTCCTTTAATAATTTGATGTTTTGAACATTTATCAAAAGGGATGTCCTAAAAAAAAAAAAAAAACCTTGTTACTATTGCGGAAAACAAACTTTAACCAAGGACACAAGTGTAGGTACCAAAGGGTAAATGTAATATCAGACTGAACTTGCACTGAAGAGTTTCTTCCTCAAATTTCTAGTTTGGAATGTGACGACTTTGTAAATGTTTTACTCAGTATTAAAAATTTTGCAAGATACCATCTCCTTTAAAGTTGATTACCAGTTACACAAGACTTTAAAGTAGAGATTGACTGATACAGTTTTTTTGTAGATCAGTTGTCAATACCTTGACATCAGTTAAACCGATCCCCGATATATGCTGCCAATATTTTTGGGTGGATTTTTGTGCCAAAATTGCATTTCCTTCCTCCATGGTAAAAATGACTAAATGATAAATGTTATGCAATTCTCGAATTAAACAAAGCATTAATAATACATAGCAAATGTATGGGAGTAGCAATGCATACACTCTATAAGGTCTCAAGGCATGAATGCTGAATGCCAGGGTTGAGTTTCTTTCAGATAAGTGGAAGAAACTGGAAAAAAGTCCAGGTAAAGTCCTGGTAATAGATCATATTTAGGAGAACCAGGATAGTTCAATTGAAAAGTCAACTCACTATATCCACCGGGCTACATAAGGAGAAG